ACCTTGAAATGGATTATACAGTTTAATATAACGAATACAGGTATGGAAGATGGGGTTAAATAAAGGTGATGTAACTAAGATACTTTAACTATCAATTGAGGAGCGAACACACATCTATGGTTTATTATGATATAAGTTTAGATTTAGGAAGGAAATGTTTCTGTGTATATTGGACCTGAAGTAAAGTTGTGGTTTAGTGGAAGAAATTACCAAACATCGTCATTAACTCCAACTCGCTGGGAAGTTTCAAATATAAGTTGGACGAATATATATGATAATGGTTAGGTGTAAATAGGACTGACTAGTTGGGTCAGTAAGTCTTCAGCAGTTATTTTTATTATTATGTTCTTATGTACAAGAATGAGACTGTCCATACATAACCCTTGTAGTGACTGTCCACCAATTGATAGGTAAAAGCAGCCCTCCCCAAAAAATTAATAGGAAACCATTATGATAACTGACCATAGGCCATAATAGGTTAAGTGAGAACTGTTTATACTTTAATTACACAAATATTGTTATTGAGGTGATGATATGCGTCGTCTTCATGGTGTGTATCCTGAATGAAAACTTACAGCTTCTTGGATCTATGGCCAAAAGAACAACGATTAAAGACCAACTCTGAGAAAAGTACCGACCACACCACACCTTGCCTGTGTGTGTAATAATAATAAGTAACGGTTTATTGAAAGAACAAGGCTGCCAATATACACTTACATAATTGGGGAATGGTTTATTTGATTTACAAATAATATACAAGTTACATAAGTAATACAAATATGATCTATAATAACTAGGTGGGGTGAATGTTATACTACAGGGCATTTCAACATAGTAACAGTGCAAAAAAAATAAGATTGGCTGGGAATGAATACACTGGTTCACTACGAGTTACTGATCATTTTTACAATGGTTGGGACGGGGCTGTTCTTATAGCGATCAGTACGTGCTTGTATGCGCTGGATGCGGTTGTGGTGTCGAACAGCAATTCTCGGACGAGGGATCTCGGGTGGAAACAGGAGCCGGTGGCGAGTCGAGGATGGTGCAGAAGCTTCACACCAAATTTGCAGATGAGTTTATAGTGAGGATCAGAGAGAGTCGAGAGGGCCGTGTGTTGAGCGCCTCCTGATATATGGAGTAAGATGGGGAGAGAATAACCTTGCACACCCTCTTCTGCATTTATTCTAGGGGCTTATGTTGAGTGGCATTTAGGGAGAAAGACCAGGGAGGGGAGGCATATGTGAGTAAGCACTGAGGAGCTAGGGCGCGGTAACTGTGAAGGACTTGAGACGACGGAGGAGGTGGAGACGAAAACTGGAAGATTTGGCAATTATATTGACGTGTGTTTTCCAATTTAGTTTATCTATAGTGATACCGAGGAGCTTGGTGGAGTCCACAACTGGAGTGTGTGTGTAACCTGAAAAGGTGCCAGATCGACTCCCTCACCAGGGAGACGATTACTCCACATCGTAACTCTTGGAGGAACACCACACGAGAAGGTGTCAATACTTTCGAGTTAGCCCGACTGCAAACCAAGGCAGACAAGCGCCAACGGCGGAAAGACGCTGTCACTGCCCCTCCCGCACTCGATGTAGCCCTCCACATGTGCAACATCTGTGAACAACTCTGCCAGTCCCGTATCGGCTTCTTTAGCCACCTCAAAACTCACCAATAAAGGTGACATCCCTTATAACTCATATCATTGTATCATAGCTGGATGATCGTCATACTCGATTCCGAGTGACAGGAAAGTAGTAGTAGTTGTAGTAAGTAGTAGTAGTAGTAGTTGTGTGTGTGTGTGTACTTGATGATAACAACGTGTTTCTTTTCTTTTGCAGGTAAGCCTAAGGTGGGGCGCCAAAGCAGTTATTATGTTGGTACTGTACTCTCGTTAGAGTTAGGGTAAGTAAGGCAAGTTTATTTTAGCAACAAGAGTTATTTACTGAGCAACTGCTATTGAAGAGAAATTGGTAAACTAAAAGATTGTGATAAATACAGAGTACAATATATGCATTTAGTATTAATTGTATCATCATCGCCGAGTGGTGTAAGGCTCAAGGTCTGTGAGGCTACCGAACATGGCAGGTTTTTTCCGGGTGCTCCAGTGTCCTCCTGTACTAACACTGGATTAATCAATCAAGAGTGACGGCCTTACATCTGAGGGTTGTCGAACACAGATTTTACCAATTCTGCCGAGGTTATGTATCTCTCTGGAGACCCAGTTTTTAATTTCCTTCATCCATCCCAGTCTCTGCCTTCCCCTGCTACCCTCATCGTTACTCTAATAGTTGTGTTATGTATTGGTAACGAAGGATAAACTCATCAGGAACAATGGGGAAATTAACAAGCTATCGACTTCCTTTCCCCGCCAGATCAGTCAATTAATCGATAGTTGTTCATACTTTATAGTGTGAAAGTTAGTTTGAACTATACTGTACTTGTAAAGAAAGGACTCCCGTTCACTGAGCAGTTATCATTTTGGGAGGGGGTGTAGCGTACTATCACTTCATAGTACGGTACTGTATATACGGTTTATATATCACTGAAGGAGAAGGTAACATACAGAAAACCTGAATTATAGGAGTTTCAAAACGATTCCCCATTCCTGTATCGAGAACAGTTGCAGGGTGTGTTGTGTAGTATAGTGCAGGGTGTGTGGTGTAGTATAGTGTTCTGGTGTAGTATAGTGCAGGGTGTGTTGTGTAGTATAGTGCAGGGCGTGTGGTGGTGTAGTAGTATAGCGGAGGTAGTATATAGTACAGGGTGTGTGTATGTATGTATTTTATATGGAGAGAGAGAGAGAGAGAAAGAGAGAGAGAGAGAGAGAGAGAGAGAGAGAGAGGCTGACAGCTGGGGGGAGTACGGGTTGTTGTGACAGTGGAGGGGGCGGAGTGAGTGTAACAATACGCCAGGCCACGCCAACCGCTGGAGCTATCTCTGCCCGGTATTACCCCCACTCATCTTCACACACACACAGTATATATTACTACGTGGAGGATTTAAAACATTATATTTATTTCACATGCGCTGACCGAGTTTAATAAATATATTTTTGCTGCAGTGTTTTACCGTTTTAGCGTGCCAGTACTTTAGTGAATAGCTTTGAAACTTCTGTTTTCTTAAGCTTAACTCTACTTAATTTCGTGTTTTGATATTTTCTTAAGTTTAGCACAACTTCATGCTTTGACACTTACATTTTCTTAAGCTTAACACAACTTCATGCTTTGATACTTATATTTTCGGTTGGACGCCCATCCGTACACCCGCTTTCCACTATCAGCCATTTTTGGAGTGTCTAAGTAAAAAAAATTATAAAAATTAAGAAAAAGAAAATCGAAATTTATCACAAGTGAAATGACGGGAAAAAAATTGCACTCTATGAAGACATTATTTTCACTTTGGAGCAAGATCACCCAATTACCTTTATATTGTCCATAAACCTTTGTGTTGCACCTGTGTCTCGTCTCCAGATGTCAGGCCATAAACAACAAATAACTTCTCTTAATATGAGTTTAATAGTCGCGTTTAAACAAGTGTATTTTAGGTTTGTTCAGTGGACATGTTGATCGATGTGTATAATCCACCTCAGAACAAAAAGCTTTACATTTTTTTATGGATATGTGGCAGAGATGTTATTCTTATTGTAGCATCCCCGCTCATAACGCACCTCTTATTATATTATATTTATTGTATTTATTTTATTTTGGTTCAGAAAGTAACAAAGAAAGATTACACTAATTCAAACAGGTTATTGTGAACTTTGTGAGAGTAACATAAAGTCTGTGTACTCTTGCAAATAAGGAACTGTAGATTATAATTGAAAACAAACACGTGTCCAGGTAGAGCTTCAGTGTCATCAGCTGTTTATATTAAAGGATAATAATGAGAATTTTCATAATTTTTTAGACACTTTTACCATTGTTGGTCTAACATTGGAGTTACGTTAAAGGAAGTAAATATTGACTAATTAAATTTCAACAAGTGTTTTCAGCATTCAAAGTTGTTGGGTCGGGTGTTGAGTTGTTAAGTTTTGTCCAACTTGTATCTTCATCATGCTGGTCTCACAGTTAGTAACATTATGGTATACAAATGAAGACATCCTCGTCCAGAACAAATGTAAATTACGTTATTTCTGTAGATTCTGGATGAAGATGCCAGGCGTACTGTAAATTATCCACTTTCTGGACAATAATTATCGTGAATAGTCTCACTTTACACTACAGTACAGTACCTCTGCAAGGTTGAAGTCATTTGGTGCTATCATGCTCGTGCGTGTCGTTTGGATGTACCTGTACTGTGCACTCAGCTCATCTGACCAGTCTAATATCATGTTCATCTCGAAATTAATCATATTATCTTTAGTGAAGAAGAGAGTAAGTGTAGATACGAGTGCAAAAGCGTTTTATGTTCAGTGTACAAAATGTAACAGAGCGACATGTACAGAAGTGTGTGTGTTGGGGGGTATAATTGTTGATGTAAGCAGGATCACGGCTGCCACACCCTGCCACCACTACCACTGATGGGCGTAGAGTCGTCATCCCTTAGTCATTAAGCAATGCTTTTGTCATGGCGTGCTGAGGGGGGGGGGGTGTCCCGGGAGACACGCGCCCCCAAGGTGACTGCCTTTTGCTACCTGAGGTTAGAGCAACAAGAGGTTGCCACAACAATTGGTGCCAAACAACGCTCTACTTTTTGTTTAATTTTCTTGGTTTTCAAGTTTGCAAAATATTAAATATTTTATCATCACGAAAAGAAAAAAGAAAAATTTGTTGAATTATTTGAGGTATGTGTAAACTGCGTGTCAGTTGTAATGTAATACCAAGAAGTGATGAACAACTTGGGCAGGAGTGTGGGAGGTGTGAGTCACGTCCTGGCGCAGGCTACTGTGGATCCTGACTCCTGTGTGACGTAGGTAAGCAGTAACATTTTCCTAGGGTGTCAGCGAGCCATGGTGCCTTGGTGGTGTTGGTTTCCCCTCTGCAGCTGTGGCCCCGGGCAAGGCGGCAGTCGAGGTACCACGTACCTCCCCTCACTCACTCAGTGCCTCAGGCTCAGTTTGCTCACCACCGAGCAGTGAAATAGACGCGTGAACTCACACTCCTGTTAGTGAACATTTGCTAATCCCTGACCACACGACCGGTGCCCTTGAAACATACAAACTACAGTACCCCTGTTTCTTGGTCAGAACTGTCTTGCCTTTATCGAGGGGATTACTATAGTTTGGAAATACGATTGTGAACTCCACCAAACACACTTGTCTCTACATTAGACTTGTCATATCGCGCCGCTCAGTTGGGTAGTGTCATGTTTTTTTATTTTTTTAGGGGCTTAATATTCAGCCTCACTAGAGTAATACTGCACATGTTTTGATGGTTGATGTTGTTTACAGTATATACTGTACTGTATACACAAGTGCTGTGCTTCACCAAATGTGTCCTCACAGAAAGAGCGCTGTACCAAGAAGAAAAGTAGCCGTGTAAAATTTTAGTTGAGATTGTCACAAAAAAAAACAATGAAATGAGAGTGAAGTGAAGAAGGCTGGAGCTACAGCAGATGGTGCACATAACAGGCTGGAGGTTCGGTGCAATTAACTACAAGGTCAGTAATATAAAACAGGAATTGTTTTGTAAAGGAACGTTAAAGTGAACACGTCAATTTTGTTATAACTCGCACACGAGGCTAAAGAGTATGACTTCGCAGAAATGTATAGTCCTAAATGGTAATTCCCGGAAGGTCTTCTTGACTCAGGCTCACGTATAGTAAATTAGTTCAAAATAGTTAGGTTTAATAACCACATAAACAATGTATGAACAACCCACCGGCCGTGTACTGTACAACGAGCTCTGTAACGTTTGGAGTAAAGTAATTCATCCTCACAGCTTAAAGATTCATTTGAAATAATTGAAAACTTATATTAAATACAATTTATACTCGCATTTATTTCATGAGAATATTAGCAAAATGTCAGATATAAAACAAACTATAATTTGGCAGTTATGTCTTCCTAAACATGAAACAGGTCGTCACTAGCAGCTCGCACTGATTCATAACTGCTAATAATCACAATTCCATTACAGTACACCTCTAATATTATAGACATAATGACTAAAAGATAAACGTGCGGCTGTACAAGTGTTGCAGACTGATCCAGGGGCTGTTCACAAGTGTTGCAGACTGATCGAGGGGCTGTTTACAAGTCTGACACAGTGTAGCTACGTGTGTTACTAAAGTGTTGCAGACTGATCGAGGGGCTGTTTACAAGTCTGACACAGTGTAGCTACGTGTGTTACTAAAGTGTTCCTGACCTTTGCGTGTATCATCATTAGCTCAGCTGCATCATATAAACCCTTACTGTGACTCATTTCTTACCCCCACCGGTAACTTGAGCTACAAACACAACTTTTTTGATAAGTAATAAAATACTGATAGCCAAGAACACAATGCTGAGTGTTAGTTTACGTACCACTACCCCCCAGCACACCACTACCCCCCAGCACACCACTACCCCCCAGCACACCACTACCCCCCAGCACACCACTACCCCCCAGCACACCACTACCCCCCAGCACACCCAGCACACACTACCCCCCAGCTACCCCCAGCACACTACCCCAACACCCACTACCCCCAGCTACCCCCAACACACCACTACCCCCAGCACACCACTACTCCCCAGCACACCACTACCCCCAGCACACCACTACCCCAGCACCAGTGCTCCCCAGCACACCACTACCCCCAGCACACCACTACCCCAACACACCCCCCAACCCTACCCCCAGCACACACTACTCCCCAGCACACCACTACCCCAACACACACCCCCAACGCACCACTACCCCAACACCACCACCACTACCCCCAACACACCACTACCCCCAACACACCACTACCCCCAGCACACCACTACCCCCCAGCACACACTACCCCCAGCACACCACTGCCCCAGCACACCACCCAGCACACCACTACCCCAACGCACCACCCCCAACGCACACACCACTACCCCCAGCCACCACACCCCCAGCACACACTACTCCCCAGCACACCACTACCCCACACACCACTACCACGCACCACTACCCCCCAACACACCACTACCCCCAACACACCACTACCCCCAGCACACACCACTACCCCCAGCACACCACTACCCCCACACCCTACTCCCCAGCACACACTACCCCCAGCACACCACTACCCCCCAGCACACCACTACCCCCAGCACACCACTACCCCAACACACCACTACCCCCAACGCACCACTACCCTCAGCACACCCTGCTCCCCAGCACACCACCCCCCCAACACACCACTACCCAGCACACACTCCCCCAGCACACCACTACCCCAGCACACCACTACCCCAACACACACCCTACCCCCAGCACCACTACCCCCACGCTACACACCCCCCCACACACACCACCCCCCACACACACTACCCCCTACCCCCTACCCCACTACCCCCAGCACACCACCCCCAGCACACCACTACCCCCCAGCACACCACTACCCACACCCACTACAACACACACTACCCCCAACACTACCCCCACACACCACTACCCCCCCACACCACACCACTACACCCCAGCACCCACTACCCCCAGCACACCACTACCCCCAGCACACCACTACCCCAACACACCACTACCACCACTACCCCCAACACTACCCCCAACGCACCACTACCCCCAGCACACACTACCCCCAGCACACCACTACCCCAGCACACACTACTCCCCAGCACACCACACCCCCAGCACACCACTACCCCCCAGCACACCTACCTTGTTTTAATAGGTTGTGGTGTGACAGGCTACTTTCAATACCGTCTTCACTCTTTTTTTTCGATAATTTTCATGTGTGGTTGGTGTGATGGTGGTGTGATAACAGTGTGTGGTGGTGTAGTGTGTGTGTGTGATGTGTGTGTATGTGATGTGTGTGTGTGTGTGTGAATGTGGTGGTGGTGTGTGTGATAACGTGTGTGTGTGTGTGTGTGTGGTGTGTGTGTGTGTGTGGTGTGTGATGATAGTGTGGTGGTGGGTGTGACTGCTTGTGGTGATAACAGTGTGATGGTGTGTGGTGTGTGTGATAACGTGTGATGGTGGTGTGATAACGTGTGTGGTGTGTGGTGAGGTTGTGTGATAACAGTGTTGATAACAGTGTGGTGGTGGTGTGATAACAGTGTATAACTTGTGATAGACAGTGTGGTGGTGGTGGTGACAACGTATGTGTGATATTGTGATGGTGGTGTGATAACAGTGTGGTGATAACAGTGTGGTGGTGTGTGATAACTTGTGTGGTGATAGTGTGGTGTGTGTAACAGTGTGGTGGTGTGTGATAACTTGCGTGGTGATAACGTGTGGTGGTGGTGGTGTGATAACTTATGTGGTGATAACAGTGTGGTGATGGTGTGATAACATGTGTGTGTGTGTGATGATGGTGTGTTATGTGTGTGTGTGGATGACATGATAACGGTGGTGATAACAGTGTGGTGGTGTGGTGTGAGTGTGATAACAGTGTGGTGGTGGTGATGTGATGGTGGGTGGATAACATGTGTGTGATGGTGTTGTGTGACAGTGTGAGGTGTGTGTGTGGTGATAACAGTGTGGTGGTGGTGATAACTTGGTGGTGATAACAGTGTGTGGTGGTGTGATAACATGTGTGTGTGTGTGATGGTGGTGTGATAACAGTGTGATAACAGTGTAATGGTGTGTGATAACATGTGTGGTGATAACAGTGTGGTGGTGGTGGTGTGATAGCAGTGATAACAGTGTGATGGTGGTGTGATAACATGTGTGTGTGTGTGATGGTGGTGTGATAACAGTGTGGTGGTGGTATGATAACATGTGTGGTGATAACAGTGTGGTGGTGTGATAACTTGTGTGGTGATAACAGTGTGATGGTGGTGTGATAACAGTGTGGTGATAACAGTGTGATGGTGTGATAACAGTGTGGTGATAACAGTGTGGTGATAACAGTGGTGGTGTGATAACTTGTGTGGTGATAACAGTGTGGTGGTGGTGGTGTGATAACGTGTGTGTGTGTGTGTGTGATGGTGGTGTGATAACAGTGTGGTGATAACAGTGTGGTGGTGTGTGATAACTTGTGTGGTGATAACAGTGTGGTGGGTGTGTGATAACTTGTGTGGTGATAACAGTGTGATGGTGGTGTGATAACATGTGTGTGTGTGTGATGGTGGTGTGATAACATGTGTGGTGATAACAGTGTGGTGGTGTGTGATAACTTGTGTGGTGATAACAGTGTGGTGGTGGTGTGATAACAGTGTGGTGGTGTGTGATAACTTGTGTGGTGATAACCAGTGTGGTGGTGGTGGTGTGATAACGTGTGTGTGTGTGTGTGTGATGGTGGTGTGATAACAGTGTGGTGGTGTGTGATAACAGTGTGGTGGTGGTGTGATAACAGTGTGGTGGTGTGTGATAACTTGTGTGGTGATAACAGTGTGGTGGTGGTGGTGTGATAACTTGTGTGGTGATAACAGTGTGATGGTGGTGTGATAACATGTGTGTGTGTGTGATGGTGGTGTGATAACATGTGTGGTGGTGGTGGTGTGATAACATGTGTGGTGGTGGTGAGATGCGTGACCCCGGGCAGGAAGGCGCTGGATTCTGCTAATTGTTTAGAAAGTTACACGTTAAATCTCTCTAGTTGACACCCGCCCTGAAGAGAAACTATGTTTGTGTTCCTTTAGTTAAAAAAAATGTATTCCTATCTGCACATTATATGTTCAGTGTATTGTATATAGTACAGCACTGAACACTGTATACGAGTCAAAGTCAACAGCATAGATGCCTCCACAGTTTTGTTCATTGTTACGGTTGTTTTCGTGTTGGAAGTAACGTGTTTGTTATGTGTACTTTCGTAACTTGTTCGTTGCGTGTACTTTCGTAACTTGTTCTTTATGTGTACTTTTTTATATATGATTCATGTTTTATTTGCAGGCGCCGACGTGGCGACTATGGGGCGAGGAAAAATGCGAAGGCGCCATATACACGGTATACCTGAAGAAGGTTCGCTACCACCACCCCTCCAGGAGCATCACACAGGTAATTTCCCTAAATTCATGTCTTCCTTCTTTTTAGGCACGTAATTTTACTATTACTATGATCGTGATTAAAAGTGAAGCAGATAACGAGGAAAAACGGAAAACACTGCCCCCCTCTTTTTTTTTAACTTTAATAATAATTATCAGATACCAACGAAGCTCCTCCTACAGGTGCTTCCTGTCATGGAGGTGAGTACACTATGTGTCATTTAGTGGCGTAATGAGTAGCTCCCTGGTACAGTGTTCCGGGGACGTCAAAACGCCAAATTCACAATTAGCTCAACCAGTCTGAAAAACAGTATTAAAAGAATGAAATGGATCAAAACAAGAGATACATTTTGAAGTAAAATATTATATATACATACATTTGTTTTTCATTCCTGAATTTAGCCTGTTTTCGATATGATTTGGTTCATTTAGCCTCTATTTCGTTTTCTCCACTGTACAGTACATGTTGTTATTGTGCTCCGAGAAATCTGGTAACCCTGCTTGTGCGTCATTCGTATGAACGTGTTTATGTCGGGAGAGCATTGGCAGATAACGTAACTATATACCTACAGCATATACATATCAGTACGGGTATTTATTATCTTCCATAAACGAATTACTGCATACGTGATGAATTAAGAGAAATAAATAGTTTTACCATATTCACAAAAGAATAAACGGCACTTTTATTAAAATCAGTTGCTGTATATACTATGCATGTTCTTCTCAACATGGTGCTGTGAGGTGGCTGTATGCTGGGCAGGGGCGGATTTACGCGGAGACTAATAAGGCTGAAGTCTCAGGTCCCAAACTCTTGGGGAGGGGGTCAACAGCTATAATAACAGATGAATTAATAAAAACAGACATTGACCAGCTGAGTACTGCACTTGCTTATCGCGCTGCTGCTGCTTACAAAGATGTCGGGGTTTTTTTTTTTTTTTGGTCCAGTGTGACGACAATGGACAACGCTGCATTGAAAAGTCACTGTGATCTGTTGGTTCAGCATCACCCCATTGATGTAGTGACCAACCTGGGTGATGAAATAGTTCACGTTGCTTCCTATGATGCGGCCCAAAGCAATGATTTCCGTAACAGGACTGAAAATCAAGACTGCAACATTGAACTTGTGTGGAGGTGGAGTACTATTGTTGACTCCCCTTGTGTGGAGGTGGAGCACTACTGTTGACTCCCCTTGTGTGGAGGTGGAGTACTACTGTTGACTCCCCTTGTGTGGAGGTGGAGTACTACTGTTGACTCCCCTTGTGTGGAGGTGGATACTGTTGACTCCCCTTGTGTGGAGGTGGAGCACTACTGTTGACTCCCCTTGTGTGGAGGTGGAGTACTACTGTTGACTCCCCTTGTGTGGAGGTGGAGTACTACTGTTGACTCCCCTTGTGTGGAGGTGGAGTACTACTGTTGACTCCCCTTGTGTGGAGGTGGAGTACTACTGTTGACTCCCCTTGTGTGGAGGTGGAGTACTACGGCTTGGTCTCTGTAATAGCTAAGCTCATCGTAGCTCCTAAACACCCTGCATCTTCATACTTGTTTACGCCGTTCATAACAGTAATTCAACCAATGGATCAGAGCTGATAACAACACTTGAAATATAATAGACTTTCGTGTTAAAGCTGTTCTATTGGCCTATAATAATTTCCCATTGTGTCAACCTCAGTTACATTAATGCCTAAACAGGTCAATACAAATTGTTGTGGTCGTTCGCCAAGCATGTCTGAAAATATCTAGGTCGAGGAAATGCCTAAGGCTCGGTGTATCGAAGCCGCCTTCCCCTTTGTTTAGTGGATAATTAAAATCCGTTTCAGACATACAATAAAATAAACAGGTATGAGGCTAAAGAGGGTTAAGTGGGTAATAAACGCATTTTTAGTTGTTTAATATAGGTATTGAGTAATTTTTGTGGCTCAAACCCAAATTCTGATTTCCCCTTTGAAACTAATGATATTGTATATTATTTATACACTCGTTAATGCGGTTCACTATAATGGGCCCGGAAGATTTTGTGTTAATGCGTGATTCTACATATCATTTGAGACGGACATTTATCTCGTTATTTTATGGCCTAAACAATATGTTCAAGTATTGCTATTGTTTATTTTAGATGGTAAGCAGCTTTTGTTTGTATTATGGTGCTGTGGTGTTTTGTGTTGTTGTTGTCCCTATATTACATACATTTATTGTTACAAAAGAAGTCGTTAATAAGATTAAATCATATGCATGTACAAGACAACCATTGTGAGATCCCTCTCTCATCTGAGCCCAGTGGCACCGAAGGAAAGAAATGGTAGGGTACTTAGCAGGGCTCCCGCAAAGCAAAACCTTGAATTCCCCAAACTAACGTGGAAACTTCCCGAGAATGAATAATATTTCCCGAACAAAAATTTTTCTTAATTTAATTATTATTATGTTTATATTATTTTTTTATAAACCTTTATGCATAAAAACTTTCTCTCTCACCGATACACGCACTACTGTAGTAGGCAGTAAATTACTTGTAATGGAGAACTGTACTACAATATTTTAGAAATAAAAAGGCTCAAAATTTTATGGTCATAAACGATTATTATGAAAAATACATTCTTTTGTTATAAAGTATATAATTCACAAACCACTGTTAAAATTAATGGAATTGTAGTCTTTGGAATAATAAGCATAGGTCCTTTCATAATAATCATATTTCCCCCAAAATTGTCATTTTCCTAGATTTTCCCTAAGTCCACTCAAATTTACCGATCTAGGAACCTTTTCTCCAAAAGTGGGAGCCCTGGTAATTAGTTTATTCAAGGGATTAGCAGCTTAACCCAAGTTGATCTTGTCTGACTAACTAAAGAACTCCCTAGCGAGTCACCCAGTGTTACAGGAACCTCTTGGCAGAAATTGAAGCCACAAGTGGTAGTGGGAAAAAAGTCAGAGATTAATGATATACGTATACAAGAAGATCGTCAATCCATGAATAATTATAGACCAGTGAGCCTGACCAGCATAGTGTGTAAAGTACTAGAGAGCATTATAAGAGATGCCATGATGGAACATCTACTATGAAACAACCTTGTAAAGGATTGCCAACACTGTTTTATGCCGGAGCGCTCCTGCTTAACACAATTGCTCAAGGTACTGGATGTTTGGACCCAAATTCTGGAACAGAGTGGTAATATTGACAATATATACCGTACCTAGATTTAGCCAAGGCTTTCGACAGCGTACCCCATGAAAGGCTGAGAATTAAACTGGAAGGGTACAGGATTCGGGGAAGTGTCCTAGCGGTGGATCGGAGACCTCCATGACCACATGCACTGTGTGGTGATTAATGGCACAGAATCATCATGTGTACCTTCAATAATCTGGGGTACCACAGGGCAGTGTATTGGGCCCGCTGTTGTTTGTTTGCTTCATAAATGACATGCCAGAAGTTGTACACTCGTCCATACAAATGTTTGCGGATGATGCCAAGTTATTTTGGGAAATTAAGAACCAAACAGACTTTGAAGAGCTACAGAAGGATCTCTGTGAGCTTCAAGAATGGTCGAAGAAATGGCTACTAAGGTTCAGTGTCACAAAGTGTAAGAGGCTGCACCTGGGACATACAACAGTAAGGTGGCATATAATATGTCCAACGGGACGAAGAAACTACGTTAATTGAAACTGAATGTGAGAAGGACCTTATACTCTAGTGCTTACATCATAATTTACTCTTTTGAAAGCACATCATGAGGACATTTATTTTGTTTTGATGTGAAAAGTCTAGGTTACTCATATTTTTTTCTTTTGTATAGAAGTGAGTGTTCTAATGACTAATTCTCTTTGTTAACAGGAGTCTGACGACGATGAAATCTCCCACCTAGAGTGGGAAACAGTGCGGGTGCGGTTCCTCAAGGCTGGGACTCTTGAGAAATTAATAGAATCTTTGGCATCAGACACTGGTGAATTAGAGTCCACCTTTGTTAATGTATTCCTTGCTACATACCGCACCTTCTCCACAACTAGACAAGTCCTAAACCTCATCCTTGATCGCTACCTCGCCCTCAGTTCCAGTAGTAATAAGATTTATGGTCTTCGAGAAGACCATAAAAAGTAAGTTCCATATTGTTTGAATGAATTTTAGAACTCTGTAATTTATAAAAAAAAATTGTTTCTTGCATATGGTACCACAGGAAATTAAATGTGATAGGATTGAATGTGTGTGTACAGTACAGTACAGTACATATTATGATTAAGATTCAAAACCACTGTGCCAGAAATTAGGTAGGTGTGATATCTTTATGCCCCACCAATGAAATACGAGAGCATTTTAATTTTGCCTAGTCTCTCTATCATTCAACTAAGAGGGCAGCTGGGTAGTGAGAGTATCAGTGTGGTTCTGAACAGATCGGTTGAGATGGTTTGGGCATGTGGAGAGAATGGAGTAGACTAATTGGGTTAAGAGAGTCATGAACTAGAATATGGAGGAGAGGTGAGCCAGGGGTAGGCCAAGAATGGCACTGGGATTGAATGGGAGAAATCACCTCCGAGATACGAACCTCCATGAAAGAGGTTGCAAGAGACTGTGCAGCATGGAGTATTCCCATCAAGTAATCAGGTATGGAAAATGGCCACAAAATGATGATGATGATTATAAGGCTTCTTATCTCATGTCTCAAATGGTGACCTCAACTTCAGGCATGGTAATCTAGCAAGGCTGCTCATTTATGGATTAATGCTTTAGGGACATAATTCTTCTGTGGTCTTCCTAAGAGGAATAAAGGAATAATCAATCCTAACCTCTTGAAAGGACTTCATTAATTATTACATACATACAATACCTACAGAGTTGATATAAGCTGACTATGTGGTGCAGGAAATATTGATCGTTAACTGTACTGTAGATATTTACCATGACCTTTGACCTCTGGTTATTGGGATACTTTTTTCATCATCTGATCAGCTTCCTCCTCCTGGCATGATTTATCTCACTTGTTTATCATGAATCATATGTACAGTATTGCCTCTTCATCATAAATAGTCAAGCGATTCTGAAATCCCATTTTGTGAATGGGGGTAAGCAAATAACTCGGTTTTCCTGCCACCACAAGGAGGAGTGTCCTTGTGGTGTAGAAAGGAACTATGAAAGAATCTCTAAGTGGGGTTTCATTATCTATGAGCAGACCAAGATGGATGAATGAGTGTGTTACTGGCAGTTGTCTTGGTTTTTCTGGCCTTTAATGGTTGTACAGTACCCATATCATTTGAAGACTCTTATCTTTTAGAACTGATAGATCCAGATATGATAAGAGAGATAGCTACTGTATACAGTATTAACCATAACAGTACAGTACAGTATTATGCTCTAGATTCATAAAAATAGTTGGTTTTATAATAGTTTAGTTCTGTATCTTGTAAGCTTGAATTACTTGCCATCTGCTCACGTCATAAAATAGGATTTAAGAATCAACCCTCTATTTTTTGTTTGTGACAAAGTTTTCATTGTTGCTGATTGTAAATAACAAGAATTACTGTTATTCTTTGTCCATTACATTGAAATTATTGCTCTGAGAAAATATTCAGGCTGTACTGTATATTTATTTACAAATTTCTTGTATTATAGGGCTCTGAGACTGACTCTCCAGGTATGGCTAGATGCTTATCCTGAAGACTTTCGGGATCCTCCATTCTTTTCCTGTTTGAGGCAACTATCAGAGTTCACCAAAATTCATCTCCCAGGTTCAGATTTAAACATCAAGGCTGGCTACAAGCTGGATAAAATGAAGAGAGAGGAGGACATAAAAGGTAAGGATTACAGTACAGTAGTTGCAATATTTTTATTATACTGCACAAAGAAGCACAGTCTTATACCTGTACTTAAGTTTCAGAGTGAAAATTTTAAGTGTGAAATCTTTCAATATTCCTGATTTGGGTAAAACTGAGCTTTAGCACAATAAAATTCCTAACAAATTAAATGTCCACAGCAGAGCATAACTAACGACAGGGACATATCCCCAGAACTTTTGAACTGGGAGGATAATACTGTTTAGGTTTTGTCCCCAACTTTTGTACCCTACCCTTAGCAGTGCTCCCTCCCCCACTCTCATACACAAAGAAATGTTTATTCCCTTTATGTTTTTGACCTTATGATAGTTATTTTATATATTTTTGTGTGCACATTCTGTATGTAGGATTGTGTGCTGCATGTAACTGAATGAAAACAAAAATGAAGAAAGTTGTTAATACTCTATACCCAAAATTATGAGTTGAAAAATAACCATAACAGCTCCCACCTCAGCCTGGTAAGTATAGTGCTCGGAGGATGTGGCCACCCCAGCTGACTCCTGGGGTCATGATTTAAATTTTTGCCCGGACCCAAATTTGTATCAGAGAGGAAGCTTTTGTAACATGAAAAAGAGGTGGTAATTTAGGAAATTGGTATAAAGCGAATTTTCGTATCTCGAATGTTCATATATCGAAGGATACCTGCACTGTATTTATTATTAATTTTATTACACATTTCATGCCATTTCTAAGTTATTACATTTTCCAGGTTCAACTATGCTAGGAAAGATTTTGTCTTGTGAAGAAATGCGTGTACACTGCTCCTCACCAATGAGTAATGGGAACCACCAACCATATGAGTTTCTCGACATACCAGAATCGACTTTTGCTCAGCAGCTAACTAGAATGGATACAGTAAGTGTATTAACCATAAGTTTATCTTCTCTTATCCTGTCTAATGCCTCACTCCCCTCCCCAGCAACACAGTATTGTAGGTTCAGTGTCATCTTGTCACTACGGGGTCACTTCATACCCCCAGTTTACACTACACCATTTCTTTCTTACCACCACAACTGCTATGGTACAGTGGAGTTGGGATAATTCACGGGTTAGATGCCAAAAGACAATGTGAATTATCAAATCATGTATTGTAGTTACATTGATATGAATGGCAATAATTAGTTTGGTTCCAGAGGCCCAAAAATACCCATTATGTGCTCAAAACTGTTTTAATTATCACTAAATATCATACATAATGCATAAAAAATACAGTAAAACATAGATATAGTACAACAGTAGTTCTATGTCAGTGGATTACACCAATACAACATCATGGAGACAGGCAGGCACCTGGCTAGCTGGCTGGCTTGGTATTTACAATGCTCCCTCCCCCACCCTCATACATAAAGAAATGTTTATTCCCTTTATGTTTTTGACCGTATGATAGTTATTTCTTTTACTTTTTTCACATTATATGTGTAGGATTGTGTACTGTATGCATGAAACTGAGTTAAAAAATAAAGTGAAGAAAGTTAAGTCTCGCCAACTGCACTGGCTAACCGTTACCCTGGAATACGATCCGCAAATTGATTAACATCCAGTCTCCCAATTACTGCTGGGTAGACAGAAGCAAATAACATAAAGGAACTTGTCCATGGTTTCACCCTGCCCTGGGATTGAACCTGGGTCCACTTGCTTGTGAGGTGAGCTTGCTGACCATTACACCACAGCTCACCATACATACATACATACATAAGACTTAAAGGGTTAAGGAAATAAAAAGGAATTGAAGATTAAATATTCGGGAACTGTAGTGAAAATTGTTTTTAGATGTAATTATTTAACTCTAGACCCTCCCTTGGTACTGTATAATGGTAGCGTGCTTGCTGGGTTGGGAGTGAGAAGAGTATTGTCCAGTGGGAGCCTCCCTTACATCACATAATTACTGTTCCCATCTGTACCAACACTCGACCCATCATACATGTAGGTTGGCTGTGCAGTAATAAAAGGGTCAATTATTATTTTCTTACTTTTCAGGTTCTCTTTAAGGGAGTGATAGCTCATCAGTGTTTGGGTTCTGTGTGGTCACGGAGAGACCGTGGTCGTGGAGATGCAGCAGCCTCTGTAACAGCGACGGTTGATCAGTTTAATGCCGTCAGTTTCCGTGTCCAGTCTACAATTCTTGTTGATACAGAGCTCAAGCCCTCTCAGCGTGCCAGGCTTATTGTAAAGTGGATCGATATTGCTCAGGTAGGGGGAAATAGTAGATTTACAGTTATGTATTGGACTGAAAGCTTTTTGCCTTGTATAAATTGTTTCTTTGTCTACTTCCAATAATAGTATGATAATTATGTATCTTTACAGGAGTTGAGGATGCACAAGAACTTCTCTTCTCTGAAAGCTATTATATCAGGTCTGCAGTCCAACCCAATTTACAGATTGAAAAAGACATGGGGAGCTGTCATAAAAGATAAGGTATCAAAGTTGCTTCCTCATGCAGTACATTTTTTTTGTGTATGTGTTTGTATATACTGTACTGTAGTTTTATTTATATTTTTTTGCAAGAAAATTTTTATGAATCTACTGTAATTAATAAATCTTACAAACTAATTTGTGAATATTGATATTAAGGCGGAGCTGTATGAAGAGTTAGCAAGAATATTCAGTGAAGAGAATAATCAGTTAAATCAGCGAGAGTTACTTATGAAGGAAGGAACTGCCAAGCATGCTCAGACTGCCCATGCAAATGACAGACATCTTCCCAAAGCTCTTGAAAAGTTAGCTGTAAATCCACTAGTAAGTTTTGGCATCTTACTCATCCTAAGTAAACTGTATTACTTTTTTAATAATTGCTAATGTCAGATAATATGATATATAACTCACCTGAACAATGTGTTGAAAACTTATGCCATACCCCATTATCATAGTTTGTTAAAAAAGGTTCACCTTTTATGTACCAGTCATTACTTGTGTTTCAGTAACCCAGGATATAACATCATGTACTACAGGTGAGCTTTGTTTTCTGCACACAACACTAATAAAATAATTGTGTTTCAGGCCATCAGCTATGGAACAATTCCATACCTTGGTACATTCCTGACTGATCTCACCATGATTGATACAGCTATCCCAGACACAGTTGCCAATGGTCTCATCAACTTTGACAAAAAACGCAAGGAGTTTGAGGTTCTTGCACAGGTAAGTTTCTTAATCAAACAATTATCTATTTCATGAAAACTGCATTCCTTAAGCTGTCATGAAATGGGGATTGTTAAGTTAAATTTATTCAATGGACATACAAGTGAGAGAGGGGTAATAGCATTAAGGAGAACATTAGAATGAAAACTGAGATATTTAAGAGCAGTGGTGTATCTATCAGCTGAAAAGTTCTGGACCAAAACCACCATGTTAACTGAATATAGAAATTTGCATTTTCTGAATTTGTATTATTTAGAAGGTAAAAACAACGTTCAACGTATTATTTAAAGCTCTTAGTGATGAAGTTAAGGAGAACAGTGCTGTGTTGTGTTGTACAAGGAAGGTAAATTATTACTTCACCTTACCTGCCTTATTACCTCAATTGATTAAACTTTAATACCGTATACTGTACAGTATAATGTTCAAACAATTTATAAAATGAAAAAAGATCATTTAATGTACCTTGTTCATTGAACTAAATTATTGTTTATAAATACTCACTGTGGATACAAAAAACATTGATAAAATGCAACTTCAGTAAGTAGTGCGTTGACTATTGGCGTCTTCATACACAATCAATATTAATTCAGAGTTTTCCTTATTTCGGTAAGGGTGTACCCCCTATTTTTGGATGTTTTACACTATTCTTTTTCTTCCATCAGATCCGGTTACTGCAAGGTGCAGCTAATGCCTATCAAATGGAGAGAGATGAATTGTTTGAGCGTTGGTGGGAGTCTGTGCTAGTGTTAGATGATAAAGAATCATGGAGACTCTCCTGCCAAATTGAACCCCAGGGATCTTCAGCTCAGTCATCAACAAGAGAGGGAAGGATGAGGAAAAGAGCTCAGTAAGTTTCCATTTCTATACTACACATCCTCTAGGATGTCATGAAACTGGATTACAAAAGTATTACTTCACCATTAAGGTTTATCACAGTGTATTAATTTGTTTAGTATGAAATAGAGAAGTAATAAAAATATACCTTCTCAGCAGATCAACCTTTAAGACAGTTTCTTACCTTTCAGAATTGGTCATCGGAAGAATGATAGTATTGCCAGTACCTCAAGTGGTTCATCTAGTAGTCAATTTTTCTTTGATAATGACTCTCTGAATACTCCCATCAGTCACAACGATACTTGCTCTTTGGAAAGAAAGGTTGGTTTTTTACTTATGTGTATTGAGAGTTACATGTTAATTTAAGTTTAATTTTAAGCCCTACATAAATTGTAAAAAAAAGAAGTGTATTGCTTGAATACATTTAGTATGTCTGTGTTTAGTAAAGTATTGAAGACATATGAGTAATTTAAAAGATTATATCAGAAAATTGTTTGAGTGTGCAATCCATGCAATAGTGAACTCTATGGCTTATTATGCTTTCATGGTTGTAGTTCTGTCTTTTACCTAACTGTAATGAAGAAAATAACCTTCCTACAGTACAAGGATCAGATGCATCTGATCCTTGTAACTCTTAATATCTTTACTTCTTTGTCTTTGTTACATTTACTGTAGAGCAGGGGTGTCAAGCTCATGGCCCGCAGGCCAAATTTGGTCCTTGGGGTGGTCAGGTGTGGCCCGCGGGATGACAGTAAAATTTATCATCCCATGAAATTATGAAAGAAATGGATATAATCATGTTTATTTATTAAAATGAATTTTACATACTTAAGATCAGACAAACCCAAATGAGGTATTCCTGGTAAGCCAGGTAAGACAATGTGTGAAGCTGTAAACTTCAATCCTGCAAATATGTGATATAGCACGTGTGTTGGCCCTGAAGAGGGTAACTAAAAAAAGAATTGGCCCTCGAAAGGTATTGAGTTTGACACCACTGCTGTAGAGTATATTGTTCTTTACCCGTACCTTGAATCCCCTTGCATATGCAGATAACTTAAATGTGGTTTGTTTCACCTTTTATTTTGTTCATTTATCCATTATTTTGTGAAGTAAATTTAAAATAAATGAGTAAAAAACAATATTTCCCAGATGTCAACGTCCTCCAGTAGTTCATCACTACCATCCCTAGATGTCTCTGTACACTCGGGTGGCACTTCAGCATCAGGACGTACTCCTGAGCGTAATTCAAACACGCAACAGCAGCAGCCAGCACCTTCACCATACATCACTCCAGATTTCTACATTATCAGAGTGTCGATTGAAAGTAGTGCACATGAAATTGAAGGTTTGTGAAATAATTACTCAAGTCAATTTATCAAGTGTATTGCAACTATTTAACATTAACAGTTTTGTTTTTCATCAAATTGTTGCTTATGTATCCTGCATTTAATATTTTTATGTATTTAAATATTTGTTCTGCAAAGTGTCATTTTATTATAGTATGTTAGAGATTATTTTTCCCTCCAGGAACATCTTTCCCAATTTATAATGGTAGTAATTGAGAGATAAATAGGATTTCTTTGGCAATTATTCAGTTTCTAGTGTGGGTTTAAGGAAGACCACTGAGTCAAGGTGTACCTGTAGTTTTATATCTGCTGCTCCCCACTGGACTAATGAAGATCCTTTCAAAAATATCAAGATATATATATATATATATATATATATATATATATATATATATATATATATATATATATATATATATATATATATATATATATATATATATATATATATATATATATATATATATATATATATATATATATATATATATATTCCAGTTATTCCAGTTACTAACCTGTGTACAAGACAGAGATCTCAAGAAAACTCCTGGATATTTATCAGTTAGGGAAAGTCTCTGCTGACAGTTGGTCTCCATTACACAAAGTGACAGCTCAAGAATTCTTATGTTTTAGTTTGATAACTGCTGTAGTTCTTTACAGTCCATTCACACCTTTACATGCTGTATAACAATCCTCAGTTGCATGCTTGTATTTTAGCATCTCACGCATGAGTTGCTTACACCTTTCAATATTGTACTGCTGCTGCCACATCCCTAATGATACAAATCTTAATATCTGACAAGATATGACACAAATTTCAAGAAAAGATGATAAACATCCATGTACAGTGGGGTCTCATTTTATGCGATTGATTAAAATGTGACCTCAGTTATAGCATACACAGCCATGGGTAGTGTGGGTAGCAGTATAGTATTTAGTGATCTTTTGCTTATTTAAGTTAATTTGACAAAAAAGGGGCTCTGGGTCATTCGAATTATCGAAAAAACTGGTGCATGAGAGATTGTGAGTGCTGGCAACTTTGTTTGGGAGAGCATGAACGATCAGCTGATATCGCTTGGTGCTGTAAACAAGAGACTGCAATATCTCGTCTGGGATTGAGTGTTGGATTCTTTGGGGGGAAATTAAATTTATAGTTTTTCAATACATAATGTTTTATTAACCCGGCACCAAATGAACATAAATAATATGGGAATTACGGTGAAATTTTGCATGCTGTTGTTATAAAGGGATTGCAGCTGCTGAACAGGTCCTCCCTCCTTCCCTTCCTCCGCCACCCATCACCGATGCACCTTAATCTGTTTCGCAGATTACCAATGCACAGATGTGTACCAGTATGATATACCCATGAAAGATGAGACCCTATTGTACAGTACTGTACAGTATTACCATTCGTATCGCTCTCTCATTTATCCTGCTAAGAGCCAAGGCAGTTTTTGGTAATGTGTGTGTGTGTGTGTGTACTCGAGGACCTTTACACTTCATCATTGATAGGAGTGAAATGACTCTCATTGCCTTTCATGATAACCCTTTGAAATAAATGTGATAAAGTAGGCACTGCAGTGGTCATGTTCAGATGATCATACATCTAATTGGTTTACTGGGAACAAACAAACTGATGGAATGTGGATACACACCAGAGTTTATGGCTCAAAATGAGTGTGAAGAAGTTCTTGAGTATATGACTACTGTCATAGGTGTCCATATAGACAATCATCACTTGTTTGAATATCTTAAAAGGATTCAGACAAGCTGAGCAAGGAATCTGCATGTGCAGTATAGACAGTTCACTTAGATAGTCCATACCTGCCACTGAACTATTGTCTCATGTCCTGTGGGCCAGTGACACTTGATTTGTAACAAATTTATATGATTAATTAAAAACCTTGCAGAAATTGTTTAGAATATATTTATTTATTTATTTTTATTTTTTTGCCTGATCAGGAGTAAATCTCTACAAGAGCATCATGTTGAGCAACTCAGAGCGGACTGTGTCTGTCATTCGAAAAGCGATGGAAAAGCACGGATTTGAGGGTAACCCTGAAGATTACACACTGGCACAGTTTCTGCCTGATGGAGGTAAGTGCACTTTTATGTTGTCCTTTTTTTTTGTTTTTGGCATTTCAACTGTTAGGATTTTTTACAACTCATAAAGTAAACAAAAAAGATCACTCTTGTATTTAAACTGGCTGACCCTCTGGTACTGCTGGCGGCCATGGTTGGAAGTATCACCTCCTCGCAGTCTTTTGATACAGGTTGTGTCGGCAACAGGAAAGGTTTTTTTCATTTTAGTAAACATTAGGTAGAGATGCTCTAGACCAAAATTGCACACTTAGAGATGCATCTGACAGCCCACGAGGCAAGTGGGAGGAACTTAAGTGGTTGATAGGGCCGGTCCACAAGAAGGTTAACTAGCAGCTGTTGAACTACAGGAATAGGGTTGTCTATGATTTATTGGTATTAAATGCAAATACAGATATGGGACAATTTATTCAACAAACTTGAAACCTGGTATTACCAGATAAAAAAAATGTTCTGGAATTTGGAGCGACAACCCTAAACTATACAGTAACCCCCCCCCCCTGATTTTTTTTATTTTTTATCTGACCAATACCATGGGCATTTTGAGGCCATTTTGAAGTCATGTGCACTTGATATTAGGAGATATTCTGAAGTCAATGGTAAATACTTTTTACTATGCAAAAATGCCTGAGTACAATATTGCATTAAAGAAAATATATTGTAATTTTCTGGTGAAAAGGAGGGGAGTCAGACCCAGGACCTCCCTCCCCCCAATGGATCTGCCCTTGGCTCTCTTTGAAAACTTAGAGCCTAGAGAGTTAGCAGAATCACTTATGTATCACTTGTGATTTTGTTCTCTCAGGACTAGTAATAATACTTAAAGCAACAGCATACACATGTTAACATATATCATTGTTTCAGTTATCCCCAGTTACAAGAATAGTGTTCACAGTTTAATATAGAATATTCATTGTTGAAAATTACATTAGGAATAGAAGTAATGAAGTCAGGAGGAAGAAATTTAAAGGGAAACACTGCACAAACACTACACCTCCATGGGTTGTTTCTTTTTGAAACACTGTACTACAGTATTCTTGGATTTTATAGTTTAAATCCTTTCCTGTTTTGTATTTTCACCACTTTCCCTTTGTTTTACAGAGATGCTGCTACCTGCATCTGCAAATGTGTATTATGCAATCAACACTCAGTATGATCTTAATTTTGTATTGAGAAGACGAAGACATGGTGATGAAAACACAATCATTAGAAAAAATCCAGCAAAGGACCACAAAGTTCGCAAAAAACTTTTGGTTACGTAGCATCAACCTGTACGATATAGCTTTGGCAACTTGATAAACCCCTGAAGAAGTTAGTTGTATGAATCATTTACACCCAATTGACACTGCAAGAAAGTTTTAAGGTCATATTCAATGCACTGTGAACCTAGAAAGACCTCCCAAGGCTGAAGTTATAAGAAGACATTAATTAACAGTTGAAAATAACAAATAGTATTTTAGAATATGTGTGTGTGTATGCATGCATGCATACATACATACATGAATGAGTATGTGTACATACATACATCAAAATTCATTCCATGTGAGAAGATTAATATTTTCCAATAATAACATATCTGGGTTGTATAATTCTACAAATGGCTCTCATTAAAGTAATGCTGTGAAACCATTTCTTATCAGTACTGTACTGTGTAGTATTTGTGTAATAATGTGTCCTGAAGAATATATGATCTGAAGTTTTATATGCAGTATTTATGTTCTGATGTAAAAATTTTGTGTATGGAGTAGTATGCTAGGAATTTTGAATGAAAGTCTTCAGTTGATTTTGTAAATATTTACAGTGTGTGCTTGTTGAATAATACTCAATTTTTCAGTAATAAGCTTTAACTTTAGGCCTTCCTGAAAGTAAAATAAACTCTATGCTGTATGTGCAAAGAATCAACGAATTTAATTTGTTTGTACTTTTAAAATATAATTGTCTTCTTGAGCACTTTAGCACCCTACCATGTTATAGTCACATGGAAGCGTCTCTCTTGTTTTGAACTAGTGTTTGAGGCTAATTCATAACAAAGCCATGTGATACTAATCTAGTTATGCATTTCCCATTATCTGGTGAAAATAATAGAAAATGGGATTACTGTGCACACTTTTATTGTTAATATTCACCTCAGTTTCTCACTTATTGTTCTCTAAAGAATTCTCTCCAGTTATGAGTAACATTAAACATTCTAGGCCTACCATAGCAGTACTAACAACTGTCATAAAATAATGCTAATCATATCCTGAAGTATTGACATAAACACTATAAAAATAAATCTTTAAATGATCTGCTGTTTTAAAATAAAAATTAATGTTATGATTCTTTATACTGTATACAATTTTTCACCATTCAGAGTACAGGAAGTTGTTGAAGAGAGTTCAAATTTTATTCATACGAGTTGTAAATATTGTGTAGGTTATTTTGTATACATGTAAAAACATTCTATTGTTACCTTTGTAAATAAAGTCTATCATTTCTAGGCATTATTTTTTGTGCCATTATTTAACTTTATTTTCTTCCTATCTGAAGAAATTTTTATTACTGTAGGGTGAAGCTTCCATAATGGGGATAATTAGAATACTGTATCATAAGAAACCAGCGTGGTATGCAGTTTAAATATAGCATATACAGGGGGTCTCCGAGTTACAAACGAGGTCCCATAAGGTCAATTATTTTAAGAATCAGACATAGGTACAATTGGTTTGTAGTATTAACGTACAAGAACTAGTTTGTGTGGCGTAGCGGCGAGGCAGGTTGGTGGGTCAGGAGTGATGCTTCACCCAGCCACACGCCTTGAGGGAGCATCAGTACGCCTTACCCTCACCTCAGTAACGTGTGTGAGTAAGCGTAAACTTAGTTTTTGCTTGACCAACTATTTTTCTGCTTTCGTCATGGCTCCCAAATGCAAACCTGATGCAATTAATAGTAGTGCATCCAAGAAAAGGAAAACAATTACAATGGAAGTGAAAGTTGATGTACTTAAACGTTCTGAAAAAGGAGAAACATCCTCAGTCATTGGTAAAGTGTTGGGCTTCAGTCACTCAACTATCAGAATAATTTTGAAAGACAAGCACAAAAAATTCTTGAACATTTAAAAGGATTTACACCAATGCAGTCAACTATGATAACAAAACAAAGAAGTGGATTGTTAATTGAAATGGATAGTTGTTAATGATATGGGTAGAAGATCAAATTCAACAGTGTCTGCCTCTAAGTCTCACCTTGATTTAGGAAAAAGCAAGAAGCATGCAAGCTGATTCGAAGGCTAAACGTGGTGGTGAAAGTGATGGGGAAGATTTTGTTGCTGGTTTAAATGGTTCAGAGTAAGGGCAAATTTACATAACTTTAAAGTGCAAGGTGAAGCAGCGAGTGTGGATGAAGTTCCAGCAAGTCAATTTCCTGCTGCTCTAGCCAAAATAATTGAGACTGGTTTATTTTGGAAAAGAACTTGAACTAAGATATAGTGTGCATAGGGTATGTTTTCCAACACTGTACATACATTAAAAACGTCCTCAGGAACGGAACTCGTTCATAACCACGGGACCCCCTGTACATTTGTTCTTGGTAATTCTTTAATATATTTATTTCACTCTGCATGTCTATGTGAACTGTTCTCAACATCTTGGAAGGCACTATCAGGGGGCGTCGGTTGCTAACAATGAAAATATATACACATACAAAACCACAAACTCAATGCACACACAAACATACTGCATGGGATCAGCATAGCAGAAGTCATCTACCATGAAAATACACACACACATACACACACACACACAGATAAAATATTTTTTAGCAATGCCTTGAGGGTAATGTGCAGCCAATTGATCTCTCATAATAATAAAGAGTTCAGCAGCCCGAAGGTTGAAAATATACTTTGGACATAAATGACTCATTACATACATTGAAATGGGGTAGGGGGGAAGGGGTAACTAAAGCTTTCATTAGAGAATGGTAAAGGAACATACAGTGAACATAAAAATTGCTGCTTACAGTGGAGGCCACGTAGGTAACGTGTGCTGGGGAGTTTAACGGCAAACACATAGTGTAGTAATTCCCTCACAGGTGGCATTATGAGGGACCTCACATGATGCTGTAGCAGCTCATTCACTACGTGGTGTGGTAGCACCATGGGTACATTGCACGATGAGTCCTTGTTACACCTTGAGTCCTTATGATTCTTTGTGAGACCTTATGAGTTTTTTGTGAGACCTTAAGAGTCCTGAAGTTCAAGGCCATTGCGAGAAGAAGGTAAACCAGGCAAATAAATTATTGGGTCTTATTCACCCAGACCGCACGGTAATGCAGAGGGAACAGCACAAGAAGCTCCTGCTGGACTTGAAGCAGAAGAGGGAGGAGTCGAGAAGGAACGGGGACAGGTGCACATGGGTTATACTCAGGGGGAGGGTAGTGGAAACAAGTGTGCCGACACAGGGCCAGGGGGCAGCAGTGCACCCTCCACCCACTCAACCCCCCACCCGGGAGGCGGCACCGGCTCAGCCTACCGGACAGGAGGGAACGAGCGCCGTGTAAACAATGAAATTTTTAACCACACCCTGCAAAATACAGTGTACTTAGCAAATGCTGCAGCTTCTGAGAATGTGGGTGGAGCGGGTTTATTACTAAGAGCAGAGACGTTACCGAGAACAAATTCTGGCTTGAATGTCATGTACACTAATACCGACACGTTCCTTGATAAGAGGGAGGAGTTTGAAACACTACTAAGAGTACACCAACCAGATATTGTAGGAGTTGTAGAACTGTTGTACAAGAACAGGAGAATCGACCCAGAGGAATGTGAGTTCAGTATTGCTGGATATGACTCATTTACGAACCTAACTCAAGAATCCTGCAGGAGGGGTGTGGTTATCTACGCTAGGCAAGACCTTAGAGCCAGCCAGGCGAGGGTACAGGGAGAGGATGTCTTTGAAGAGTCCAAGTGGTGTAAAATTAAATTAAAGGGAGGGGACTTACTTATCGTCGGGTGTATCTACAGATCCCCGAACTGTGGCCCACTAAATCAAAGGAACTTAAGAACCTTAATAAACAATGCGGCGATGCTCAACCCCAGCCACCTCCTTATCATGGGGGACTTTAACTATGGCGACATCGACTGGAGAAACGAGTCCACCCCGAATGACTTGAATAATCCTGCTACTCTTTTTGTAGAAACTCTGAGAGATAATTTTCTGTTCCAACATGTGAGAGACCCGACACATTACAGAGGGGAGCAAACACCCAAGCCACTTGACCTCATCATAACAAACGAGGAGGGTATGGTGGCCAAACTGGAACACCTTGCCCCAGTTGGCACCAGTCACCATACAGTGTTGTCATTCAGATTTAACTGTTACCTAGTTCAAGATAAGGCCAGGCCAAGGTGCAAATATTACAAGGGAAATTACAATGGGATGAGGGAAGAGATGAGGGGTATCAACTGGCCTGACTTATTAAGGTACAAGAACGCAGACACTACGCTGAATATCATAACTAGTAAAATGACCCATTTGATCGATAAATATATACCCAAGACCAAACCCAGTGCTTCTAGGAATACGAGGGGATCCCTACACATGAACCATGCGGCGGTCGACAAAATTAAGAAGAAAACCCAGAAATTCAAGACGTGGGTTGGGTCAAACGATGAGCAAGACAGGAGGATGTATGCAAGAGCCAGAAACCAAGCAAAGATAGAGTGTAGGAGGGCTGAAAAGGAGTTCCAAAGGCTGGTTGCACGCGAGGTCAAGTCAAACCCAAAGGCGTTTTACCGCTATGCAAAGTCGAAATTGAAAACGCGAGTAGGAGTATCAGACCTGAGGCTTGAAGATGGTAGTTACGCAGATTCTGACCAGGATAAAGCTGAGGCATTGAACAGCTTCTTTTCCTCAGTGTTCACAAGAGAGGATGCAACTAACCTTCCTGCGTTTGAGGACAGACGGTTCGACACAGCACTGACCCACATTGTGTTCACAGAAGAGGGTATTAGAAATAAACTGTCCAGGCTAAAGGTCCATAAGAGTCCTGGACCTGACATGGTGCATCCTAGAGTGCTAAGGGAGCTGTGCAACGAGCTTGCAGAGCCCCTGAAGATTCTGTTTTGTAAATGCCTGGATGAACAAATGGTCCCCAGTGAATGGAAAGTGGCTTATGTGAGTCCTATCTTCAAGAAGGGCGATAGGCACTCCACGAACAACTATAGACCGGTGAGCCTGACCAGCATAATATGTAAAGTACTTGAGAGTATTATCAGAGATGCAGCGATGGAACATCTACTACGAAACAACCTTGTAAAAGATTGCCAACACGGTTTTATGCCGGGGCGCTCTTGCTTGACACAATTGCTCAAGGTATTGGATATTTGGACCCATATTCTAGAACGGGGTGGTAATATCGACAATATTTACCTAGATTTTGCCAAGGCTTTCGACAGTGTACCCCACGAAAGGCTGAAAATCAAACTGGAAGGGTACGGAATTCGGGGAAATGTCCTAGCGTGGATAGAAGACTTTCTACATGACCGCAAGCAATGTGTGGTGATTAATGGCACGAAATCGTCATCTGTACCTGTAACAAGTGGGGTACCGCAGGGTAGTGTATTGGGCCCGCTGTTGTTTGTTTGTTTCATAAATGATATGCCTGACGTTGTACACTCCTCCATACAAATGTTTGCCGATGACGCCAAGTTATTTCGGGAAATTAAGAACCAAGCGGACTGTGAAGAGCTGCAGAAGGACCTCTGTGGGCTCCAGGAATGGTCGAAGGAATGGCTGCTGAGATTCAATGTCACGAAGTGTAAGAGGATGCACCTGGGGCGTACCAACGGTAAGGAGGCGTACCATATGTCCCAACGGGATGAAGAAAATGTACTAGTTGAGACTGTGTGTGAGAAGGACCTAGGTGTGTATGTTGACAATGAGCTGAAGTTCTCGGGCCATTGTGAGAAGAAGGTAAATCAGGCAAATAAATTATTGGGTCTTATAAGAAGGTCGTTCAGATATCTAGACGGTCCGTCCCTCGTGACGATCTTCAGGAGTGAAGTGCTTCCCCATCTGGAGTACTGTCACCCCATCTGGTCCCCGAGATATGCTAGGGACTGTCAGTTGGTTGAAAATGTTCAAAGGAGGGCCACCAAGCTGGTGCCTGCACTTCGGCATCTCAGCTACCCTGCGAGATTGGAGCGCCTGAACTTGCCTAGCTTATACTACAGACGGGCAAGGGGGGACCTAGTTGAGGTTTATAAGCATCTCAGGGGGCACTACTCAGTTGAGTGTCCTTACTTGGAGCTGGCGGACGCTCGCCCCACAAGGGGTCACAGCTCAAGATTGAAGAAGCCGCAAGTCCGGAAAACCGTGAGGGCAAACTTTTTCGGAGTGAGGGTTGTAAACTCTTGGAACAATCTACCAGAGAGTGTTGTGACGGCACCGAGTGTGAGCTCTTTCAAGAGAAGACTTGACCAACACTGGAGCGGGTTCAGGTACATTCAGGAGCCGGTGCATGCCCAGTATTTGCCAACAGTGCGTGACAGAGACGTGACCGATCGCCCGGGCGGCTAGCGAGCCGACCTTTTGGTGAAGAATATAAAGGAAAAGAGTCGTGACCGATCGCCCAAGCGGCTAACAAGCCGATCAGTGGCGAAGAGGATAAAAGTAAAAGTAAAAAAAGTAAAAAGTAGACGGTCCGTCCCTCGTAATGATCTTCAAGAGTGAAGTGCTTCCCCATCTGGAGTACTGTCACCCCGTCTGGTCCCCGAGATATGCTAGGGACTGTCAGTTGGTTGAAAATATTCAAAGGAGGGCCACCTGACTGGTGCCTGCCCTTCGGCACCTCAGCTACCCTGAGAGATTGGAGCGCCTGAACTTGCCTAGCTTATATTACAGACGGGCAAGGGGTGACCTAATAGAGGTGTATAAGCATCTCAAGGGGCACTACTCAGTCGAGTGTCCTTACTTGGAGCTGGCGGACGCTCGCCCCACAGGGGGTCACAGCTCAAGATTGAAGAAGCCGAAGTCCAGAAAACTGTGAGGGCAAACTTTTACTGAGTGAGAGTTGTGAACTCTTGGAACAATCTACTAGAAAGTGTTGTGACGGCACCGAGTGTGAGCTCTTTCAAGACAAGACTTGACCAATATTGGAGCGGTTTCAGGTACATTCAGGAGCCGGTGCATGCCCAGTACTTGCCAACAGTGCGTGACAGACGGGCCGATCGCCCGGGCGGCTAACGAGCCAACCAGTGGTGAAGAGGATAAAAGTAAAAGTTGTGAGTCCTTATGAGTCCATATTAGTCCTTGTGAGAGTTAGTTAAGTAAATTGTAAGGAATATGTATAATGCTGGAGGTGTTACATTATATTTGAAATGGCCACAAGAGTAACTTCACCCCAGATGTGACTAAACCTCCACCAAATTTTTTTTTTACCTGCACGTGATTTTTTTTCACAATTGACCAAAGCCTAGAAAAGAAACCGAACATATGTGATTAATGGGTGCTTAAAACCAACGTTGAACGACCAGTGTCATGATAATGGCGTTGAGGAGCGTGTGCTGATAACTGTGTCCGGCCGGTTTGGTGCCATCTAATGTATACGGCATTTAATTAAAGTATTCTCATCTTCTGCTGGTGAGAACTACTGAGATATTTACTTCTGATCAATACAATGACCAAGTTTTGTGTGTGATGAAAGAGAATGAGTGAGATAGTTACATAAATATGAAATAAAGTTGGAATAGCATCGGGATGACAAGTAATTTACAGTATAATATTACGTTGCAACTGTCTAATTGGCGGAAAAAGTGATACAGGGTAATTTTACTATAAATTATATGTAATCAGTTGTAATAATTGTTATATACAAGGAAATAACTTAATAATGACATACAATTAACAGTGGTGCGCGTCACTCACCTCCAGTGTCTGCTGTTATTACCAATGAGTGGAGTTTTATACAATGTATTTCGTAGTGTAGCTGTCAAATTAAAGACAGTGAGAGTCTATAAAGCTGGTGTGATCTTCTCCAATATACACAACGGCAGCCCAACATCCTTAAACCACTTTGTCATCAGTAGATTCTTCAGTGTGAGTGAGACTTGATATAGTCCCTGTGGTCTTAATGAACTATTTGTGTTTCTTCCTCACTAAATTGACTGTGTTGTGTTACAGGTGGTGATCTATAGTGTGTGTGGGATGAGTTACTGTAGGCTGTTTGTGTTATCTGACACTGTATGGCATCCACAATATTCTGTATTAGTGATGAGTAGTTCCCATATGGTAATTCACTGGTTAGGTTTAGGTCAGGTTGGGAAGATTATGATGTACTAATGATGTTGAAGATTGTTATTACCTCATGAGTACAGTTTTGTGAGGGATTATTTGCTCTTTTGTTTACTTAGAATGATAATAGGTGAAATATAAAACTGGTTTGGGATGGTTTAAGAAAGTGTGAACCGAGGAATGTTATATTTTAAAAGTTCATTCAGAATGTTTGGTGACTTTGTTTAATGTTTGAGTGTGAACTAACCAAGATATTAAAAGTGCATGATTCAGACATATCAGTTCTTGTAACTATTTTCACAAGACTAGGAACCTTTTGACTAGTTAGGTTTGATTAATTTGTTTTACCTAATATCCCACAAGATTTTTAATCGGTGTATGAAAACCAACATAATAAGTAAGGTTATTATGGATGCAATGGCTCGGTGGATACAGCGCTCACCTCCTGTCATGAGGGTTGCTGGTTTGTATTTGGGGCACCCCTAGGTTAATAATGATGAAGATCAATGCCTTCAGTGCCAGTTTAGCATTCTCAGATGGCCCCTTGTATATAATGTGCGAAACTAGATGATTTTGTCGACATGGTTAGCACCAGAAAAAAAGTAATGGAATTGAACCAAAATAGAAGCGAGAAAGCACAGAATCTGACTTAGCCTCACCTAACCTAACTTCTATTTTCATGTTCTGGCTCATGATATTAGTCTCCACAAATTTTGGTTCAATTCCATTATTTTTTTCTGGTGCTAATCTTGTTGACAAAATAATCTAGACTTTTGCGGAGTATATGCAAGGGGCCCTCGGAGTATGGGCGACCTTTGAGAGAACAATACCAGTTATATTACTTACTTTGTATTGTGTTGTATGCACATTTTTCCCTAAAGGACTATCAGGGCTATGAACCCACTTTCACTTTATCATTAGTTAAGAATCTCATGAAAAGTGTCAAGTAACCAAGAGACAGTGTCCAATTATTAACATTATTGATACTGTAAAGTTTTTTTGTTGGTGCCTTTCATTGCCAGCTAAAGTAGATCATTTTTATTGTGTCTTTGAGGAATATATAGACAACAGTAGAGGTGTTTAGGTCAGTAAATAGTATTCATAGTTCTGAGTTATATGACATAGTTTTCAGTATCTAACTCCTTGATATTGAGAGATGTAGAACTAAATCTATAAGCAATGAATGTTTTATCTCAGAGAAGCAAGGTATAGTTAGTAGTTTTTATTGCATTAATCGTTCGATGTTACATACGTATATATACAGTAGATGTATTTTCTGGTTCCCATTGATATTTTCTTATTTACTTGTCACATATCAGTCATTTTTACCATGCTTGTATATTAGTTTATGTATGTAATCACTGCTTCTGAACTTCTTAAGACTACCATCACAACTTCCTCACGCAGATCACCAGCACCATGCCAACACCTCAGGGAATCAACGGCCTGTATGACTTCCGGAAAGTGACACCGGAGGATATAGAAAAACAGACAGATGTTCTTATCCTGAAGCAGCGGACATCTTACGAGAACATAGGGTCATCACCGCTGGACAAAGTGACCTATGAGAATGTGATCAAGGTGAGTTAGTCAAATCTTAGAAAGAGTACGGAAAATAAAGACCTAGGTTGCGTTACTGTCGGCTGGTGTGTACGGAAGAATTATTATTTTTGTGTAGTTTAACAATTATAAAGAAATAGAGTGGCTGTTGAGTTAATAGTAATACAAGTCATGTGGACCTGTTAATAGTTCCGGAGTTTAAACTGGTTCTGGAATCCGGAAGTCAGTTAAATACAATGAACTGTGCAAAGAATAATGAGTAGCCATAGTAACAGTAGTACAGTACACAGCATTCATAAATTACCTCACCCATTTTAGAAAATAGAACTACATAAATATTATAGATAGAACACACTAGTAGTTGTATCATACTCTATTGGAAGAACATTAAGAACATTAATATATGTTATCTTTGTGAAATATATTACTACTGTGAATGTGTTTATAATATTTTTGTGATTACAGTGTTGAGTTTTAAAATAGGTCAGACAATTTATGCCCACCCTGGAGGTAACACTGTGTTAAGTGTGTATTTCTTACTTGTTTATGGACTGTACTATAACATTTCCAATCACTTTTACTGTTATTGTAAAAAAAAAAGGCAAGATAAAGTAATATTCAGATTGTATGAGAAAAAAATTACTCCAGAGGGTTTAGGGAATTAAAAATATACATTCAAAATTACACACACCTGCAGCTACTGTACTTACCTACCGGTACAGAATTTGAACCCACGCAGCTCAGTTGACAAGTGAGAGTATTACCACTGTACCCAGAATAACTACGAATTACCTGAATCTAACCACAATGGAGCCTCATCTCCATCAAAAGTATAATAGATGATTTTATTTTCTCATTCCCAGCTGCTTTAGATGACCTTTATAAATATGAAGAATAACCTTAGGGACGGCAGATGTTGATGGTGGACGTTGCATTCCATTTTGCACATGGAGGGGGTTAGGGAATCCTTATCCGCTGGTTAGAATTTGGCGTTAAATAATTAATCATTGAATAAATCTTCTTATTGCAGCATCTTGCAGATTTAATGGCCGAGCGATCAACATTGGGCTCCCCGTTGGATTTTCCTCAACATGCAGCGACGGACAAAGCTGTTCGGGAGGCTTCCAGCAAGGCCGAGCAAAAGTTGGAGGAATTTGACGTAGAGATGAGGTGTGTAATAGGAGTTGAGCTTTTGGGTGTTGTGGAAGATGATGGTTAATTACTGTAGGTCTTTGGTATCACTTGATGATTAGATGCCCCTGCATAGTTCACCTGATATGACACTGCTGCTTATTTCACCTCAAGATTAGACAGCCCTGCTTATTTCACCTCAAGATTAGACACTCCTGCTTATTTTACCTTAAATTATTTCTGATAAATTGATTTCCATTTTATAACGAAGTGAAACTGATAAAAAAAAAGACAGTGCAATTATACGGCTTTATTGTTTCAGCATGCGGAAAGATATCTTTGACCGCGTAGTGGCCTTCAGAGACAACGTTGGCGTGGAGGGCTTCAGCGACGAACAGAAAAGGCTTGTGGAAAAACTCATCCTTCACGGCAGACGAAATGGTGAGTTTGTGGAGAGGGGCCAGAGTGTTTTGTAGAGGGAAGCTTGCCTAGTGAGATATGTCTATGATATTTTTATGTATGATTATTTATTTAATTTTTTATATCCCCATAGATTCTCCCTCTTTTTCTCTCTCATTAGTTGTGTTGATGCTGCTGGCTCTTGTACTATCTCTTCCTTTCCCAGATTTTTTTCATTCAATCGTCTCACTGTTATAAGCCTTGAGTTGATCACAGGTTTATTGTCATGAGGATGCAACAGTAGGTGATTATTTATTGTGTGTATTCTTTTCTGCTCTTGTTGGAAGGAGTCTTGTGAAGTATTAGAAAACTCCAGCTTATGTCACCTGATGGTTAATCACTCATGACACAAACTTGGGGGATGTTAGGTCATGGTAGGTTAGGTTAGGTTAACGTTAGGGTATTTAATCTTCGGGTGAAATAAATGGGGGTGGGGGGTTCCTAATGTTCATGTTTTGTGAATGGTGGACGAACATATTCGGTAGTGATGTTTGTAGAGATATTTATTTTCGTGTCTGATTATTCCTGCAACCAACAGAATTCAGTTTGGTTTACCTATGTGGCTTCATACAACCTAGCAGTATCAGTCATCAGCACCACGAATATACAATGGAAAATTTTACTTAACTATTCGTAAACACAAAAATTTAGATCAAGTAGAAAATCCTGTACGAAATAGATTTAATAATGGACTAAATTCTTATTCGTTCTTTTACTTCAGGTCTTCATCTGTCTGAAGAAATACAAACAGAGGTGAAAATGATCAAAAAACGTATGTCGGAACTATCCATCAAATTTCAGCGTAACCTGAATGAAGACAACACAAAACTCTTCTTCACTAGAGAGGAGCTAGCTGGCATGCCCGACGACTTTGTTAATGAACTAACTCAGGTATGACAGGATTCACCTTTATATTGTAAAATCTCCTAAATGTTTTGACTGACTGTACTGTATTGGTATGTACAGTCACCCATAAAAGTCCTGTTGCCTCGCCTGTTGTTCCGCCAGAATAATACATCGGCGTCTACTGCTACGGGTTCAAGAGTCCGTAGTAGTAGACGCCTATGTATTATTCTGCCCATAAATGCTTCGGATTCACGAGTCTGAATGTTGGGGTTTTATGGATCAGGAGAAGTGTGACAGGACTTATACAGGTGACACTACTGGTACTGTATAATGTTTTAACAAGTGTGTATGATTGAAAGCCTTTAGACGAATTGATATTTCAAGGTGTATCTATCTTCATCTGATATCACTTCATCACTGAGGCCTGTGTACAGTAGAGGATGCACTATATATTATCTTCTCTTAATGCTGGACTGTATACCATACCTGCATTATTTATATACATGCTGAACTAATTGTAAATATGTATGATGATTTTACTGAATAGGTCCGTATCAGTCGATCAATCAATCAATCAGTCTCACTCATATGACACTTGCATTACACTTTTGCTCTCATTTGTTTCCTCCTTGGCATAACGATGGTGTCCTTCCCTGCTTATGACTCTCATGTTGAGTTAAGAGAATGTAAAGTATTCCTAAACTGGCCTGTACATTCTCCTTTCCTGGAATATTGGACTCTGTCAGATACACTGTTTCTTTCCTCAGTCTTCTCCCATCTGTTGTTCCCTTTGCTCCCTTCACTTCACCATACACTTCAGGTGTTGGTCATCATCCATGTATTGTGTTCTGTACTGCAGGGAGAGGACGGGAAGCTGGAGGTGACAATGAAATACCCACACCTGTTCCCCATCACCAAGAAATGCCGGGTACCAGACACCAGAAGGCTAATGGTTACTGCTAGTCAGTCCAAGTGAGTCGTAGTCAAGTAATAGATATTGAATGATTGTGATTCCCTTTTGGACTCTCGTGTTGTGCCGGTAATTTTTTTTTTTTTTTTTTTTACAGGAAATATCGGATAACCTGAATATTATCCCCGCCTCCCACATCCCCACAGTATATTTCGCCTGATGATTAAACACCTTATCACTGCTGGGAGGAGGGCTTAAGCTAGTTTAACATTATGGTGGTTAATCTTCAAGTGAAATATGCATATGGGGATAATAATCAGGTAAATTCAAAATGTATTATACACTTGGTAATTTGTGAAATGCTTTGTGGGTTAGAATAAAGTTTGATGCAGTAAATCCCTAATATAATGTATTAATTGGGGGAAGGCTGGTCTGTCAAAGCTGAAAGTCCATTATATCAAGATCCAGAATAACAACAGACTTGGTCCTTTATATACCAACATAGTTCAAAGTAACTATGATAATTTTACCGTGCTTGAGGGGCAGTTCATTTGCACGGTTAAGCCCTAAGCATTCTATTCCTGCTTGTTTAGTGGGTAATTATAATAACTCTCAGGCATATAACTCAATAAATGTCTCTGTCAGGGATGTGGAATGGTGGTGTTGATGTCATGTCTGGCTAGGCTCATGTGAGCTGTGTGGCTGGGTTTGTCTGCCCAATTACTCTTACAGATATTTTTGGCACTCCATACACTTGGAATTTTGATATGTATAATAAATAAAAGAATATACTGTATTGTTTTCATGCTTGTATGTTTTAAAATGCCAAAGTTCAGTAGCTACATCAAGTCCCATAAATATTTATGAATAAGCAAAGTTTATTTGCTTATTCTGTGTACCGCCTTGCCGGCGGTACACAGAATGCCAAATCCATTAAAGTACCTGTAAAAGAGAGAGAGTGAAGCAACATTGCGGCAAAGAGAAAGGGAAGAGAGATTATTGACTAAAGGAGGACAGTTAATAAGACGAGAAATGCCTTTGATTCCACCCCACATATGAGAGCATTACTCAAGGTTAAGAGAAATGAATCCCTTATAAACCTGAAGAAACTGCTCAGGAATGAAGTAGCTACAGTATTTTACAATATTCCCAGCTTTTGGCAGTCAGCTTTAGCTATGCTGTGGATGTGTGGCTTCCATGACTTATTTGAGGAAAGAGGGTGTGTGTGTATGTATGTGTCTATGTGTGTCACTTGAATCATAAAAACGCGTAACATTTTTCAGGTGTATGGAGGAGAACACGCCCATTCTTGAGGAGCTGATAAAGTTGCGACAGAGGCAAGCCGACTTGTTAGGTTATAAAAATCACGCATCATACGTCTTAGAGGAACGCATGGCCAAAAATGCTGACAGCGTATCTCAGTTCCTCTCAAGTCTCTCTGAAAAGCTTCAACCATTGTGGGAGCAAGAGAGAGTGGACATGCTCAAGCTCAAGAAGGAAGAGGTTCTGTATTGTATTGTATTAAATCCCTTTTTATTTATATTTTATGTTTAGGCAAAATAAATATTTAAATTATAATATTGTGGTAAACCTTTTGGCCCCTTCCTGTCTTTCTCTATACTTTTATTACACCACAAGAAAAATTTGATATTACTACAGCCTCACCATGTCGGCTTTCTTATTAGACACAATTAAAACGATTCTATTTTACATGAAGATTAATAATTCTCTTTGTTTGTCAGTGTGAAAAGTACAACTATGAATACTCTGGTAAACTGGACTTCTGGGACTTCCGTTACTATATGAACCAGGTGGAGGAGAAGATGTATGCTGTCGACCAAGATGAGGTGAGCAATTGAGTGTTCTTGATTGGGTTGATGTGAGGGGTATAAAACAGCAAAGACGTACATGTTTGATTGTCTCAACTCGGCTCAATTCTCGAGCTGTACTGCATGTTTTCTGCTGTTTTTTCTTATGGGGATTGCACCATGTTGGAAGCTTATCCATGTTGCCTGACATTATCTGATAGAGGAATGCTGCGGTGACAGAAAATGGGAAATTGAGCAATCTGGTGGTATTCTGTACTTTTCGAATGCTTATTTATTTTCTGACGCTAATTACTTGCCACCTATGGTTTTTCAAGGTCACTTTTTGGTGTTTTTGTTTTAGTCTGGATGTACTTAAGTAGTTAGATTTTGTTCAGAATCTCAATGTATGCAAAACTGAACATGATTATTAAAGATATGTTGTTCACAATTGGATATCTGTATAGTTGCTTGACCAAATGACATTTCTATAATTATAATTATAATACTATATTGTTAGTTAATCTCTGTGTCATTATAGATTTATTTTTTCATACATAAATGCACTTGTATAAAACTTTCATTTGACTGTTTATGAAATGTTTGTAACTATTTAGATTCATATGTTATTTTTTATAATGAGAAAGTTTACAGTTTTACTCTACTGTATTTGAAACTTATATTTCTATGTTGATGGTAAAGTCTTCTGTCTGTTAGGGATTATGTCAACTTATTACAGTTTGATAATACAGTTATTTATTATACATATTATATGATAGTATTCACAGTGGTGGCAGTATTTTAAACCACGTGTTTCAACAGGTACGGCAATACTTCCCCTTAGAAAAGGTAACGTCTGGGTTGTTGGACATCTACCAGACACTGTTGGGTCTTCAGTTCACTCAGGAATCTGATGCAGACACTTGGCATGAAGATGTCAAATTGGTGAGTACTTTTTCTGTTGGACTGGGTGTCTTGAGTGTTTGTGGTGTGTATTTGTGTGTGTGTTCCAATTAGAGCAGGAGTTCCCAAGCATTTTCCAGTGCGACCCCACACATACACGAAGGAGACAGTGAAGAAGATTTTCTATATAAAATGTCTTTCTTCCATACTGTACACACACACACACACACACACACACACACACACACACACACACACACACATGGTAGAGGAGATAGAACACACCATCCCACCATGATTCAACATTCTTAAGGCTCTGTTGTTCTCAGAAATCTTAATTACTTTTCTAATGCTAATTACTCATCTCCTATGATTTTTCAAGGACACTTTTTGGTGTTTATGTGGTATTCTGGATATATTTAAGTACTGTAGTTAGACACATTAAATTACAATTGTGAGAAAAAGTGTTAGGGTTTGGATTACCTTATCAGAAATGATCTTATAACATTAGAAAAGTAATTAAAATTTTATCTTTCATCTATAACCATGCTGAACTGTATATAGTAGTTGCATTGTCTACATACATGCTGAATCAATTTGTAATTTCATATGACGATTCTACTGAATAAATATCTGTCTGTTTTGTCTGTTTGTTTATCTAGCTTATCTAAACTTATCTGTCTCTCATTCAGCCACCCCCGTTACACGTCAGAAAAATGTCGTGAACAACAACGGGTCGAGTAAACAACACAATGCAATTCTTTCAGTACCGTGTGAATGACGCCAAGACCGGGGAACACATGGGCTACTTCTTCCTGGACCTCTATCCCCGCGACGGCAAGTTCGGACATGCTGCCATCTTCCCCCTCCAGCCTTCATGTGACGCTGCTAACGGTGATCGCCAGGTGAGATGCCCCACTTCACTTGCGCTCATTCTGTGTGTGTGTGTGTGTGCGTGCATGCGTGCGTTAAAGTAATTTTGACTTACCTTTGCAGTAATCCCTGGGTTATGGAAGGGAAGTGTCTTTGAAAATGTGACCATAACAGGAACCTCATTTTCCCACTGACCTTTGTTATGTAATTGAAGATGCAGTCCTGAGGGGTTAGTATACAGTGGTCTAATGAGAACTAATACAATAGGTACAAGGGATGTTCATTTGTAAACCTGCTGGAGGTCGGGGGAAGGGGTGGGACTGGCTGCTGCTATTTTCATCTGTTTTTATCTACAGTATTCATTATTATATTCTCATATGGTCAGCCAATTAAAGTGTATGGTCCATCATAAATAATATAACCTACAGTATTAAATAATAGAACAAAATACGATACAGTATATAATTTGACTTAAAAATAAAAGAAAAGCTGTATCACAAATTAATCCTCTTCCTTACCCCTGCCCTGGCTAAATGAGGGAGGGGGTGAGGGTTGGGACCGGCCCTGCCATATTTGCCAGTTTGTTTTTATCCTGTATTTATTTATTTTTATATTCTCGTGTGATCAGCCTCTTATGGTGTGTGTTTCTTCATAAATAATATAACATATTAAATACAGGGGGTCCTCGTTATTAGTGGTTAATAGTTACCAGAAAAACCCCTCGCTGATAATGAAACCACTTGCAAAGGGGAATTAATTTCCATAAGAATTAATATGCATAGGGTCTAATCAGGACCATCACATTGTAAGTGACGCTCGTAAAGTTTAGTAAGGGGTTAGACTTAATGTTTCAGAAGTAATTTTGTCTCACCACTTTTGTTCAAAATCTCAACATATGTAAACCTGAACATGCTGATTAAGGATCTGTTGTCTGCAATTGGATATCTGTATAATAACTTGACCAAATGAAGTCTCAATAATTTTAATTACAGTACTTTTTAAATACTTACTTTTTCGGTGGTTTCGGCCCAAAATTGATTTTTTTTTAATACTGTATCTCAGTATAGGTACTCCTGAGTATGCTGATTCTAAATCTATAGTTCACAGTTCGATTGTGGCATAGTTAGTAGTCGTAATGATGCTTGGAAGATTTTAATGAATTTTTATCAATGCTAATTACTGTACACACCAACTATTGGATTCTGAGGTGTGATTTTGGTGTTTTTGTTTTATTCTGGAAGTACAGTACAGTAATTAATTAGTTAAACCCCTTAAATTCCAATTGTTGGAGAAAATAATCTTGGGTCAAAAAATTTCTAAGGCTTATATTTTCCACAACCTGAGTTTCCGTAATGGGGGGATGTGTGTCATTCTATCTGCCATGAATACATTACAGCATCATTTTCTTATAGTATGTTATAATAAATATGTACGGACTTTTGTCTTTGATTTTTGATGTTGTCTTGTGTTGTATACAGGTTGCAGTGTGTGCCATGATGTGCAACTTTACCAAACCCACCAAAGATAAGCCAGCACTGTTGGATCATTCAGAGGTAAGTCCTGCCATTGTGAAGGTGCTTGATTTATTATTATTGTTATTCAGGGAATTCTAAAAGAAAATATTTGCTAGACATAATCCTTTAAGGTAGATAATTAATAATATCACCCTATTGCAGGTAGAAACGTACTTCCACGAATTTGGACATGTGATGCACCACATATGCTCGCGGGCAACGTTTGCCATGTTCGCTGGTACACGGGTCGAAAGAGACTTCCTGGAGGCTCCTTCACAGATGTTAGAGAACTGGGTTTGGGAGAAGGAACCTTTGTCTCTCATGTCTGGGCACTATCAGGTAAGGGGGTGTGTGTGTGGGGGGGAGGGGGATCAGGGATAGAGAGAGAAAGTGTGTGTGTACTATTTCCAATTTTAAGTAGAATTTTATAGAATTTTGCATGTATTTAACAAACTTAAAATTTATCCCAAATCACGGCTGAGGTTTCGAGATAACTAATGTCATAGGAAACTCTTAAAATATGTTGGAGAGCGTTATATACTGGATTCTTGAATGAAATTGAGAGAAGTTGGGATAAACAGTATTGCAGTTGATATAAACACATTCCTCTACACTATGCCCCTTTGTTTTTAGTTACCTGAAAGAAGATAAAGCAAAATTTTACTTCAATTAAAAGATTGATAAAAAATAATAATTATTATTATTATTATTATTATTATTATTATTATTATTATTATTATTATTGTTGTTCTCTTCATGACTGTCATTATCTTCCTTCAACAGAGCGGCATCACATTGACCGACGAGATAATTGAGAAACTCGCAAAGTCTCGCAAAGCCAACGCAGGCGGGTTCAATCTACGACAGATCATCCTAGGAACATTCGACCAAAGTATCCACACCAGAGGGGAGGCGGATACCAAGTCCCTTTTTGCTCAAACCTACCGTGACATCATGGGTATTGAACCCATCCCAAACACCAACATGCCTGCCAACTTTGGTCACCTCGCCGGGGGGTACGACGCACAGTACTATGGTTACCTGGTGAGTGTTGATTGGTAGTGATAGGTCAGTTTTGGGGTTTTTTTTTAGGTGGTAAGAGTTATTAAGTACCCTTCATTGGGTTACACTTTCTTTCAGTAGTCACCATAGAATTATTATTATAATTTAAGAATCCTTACCAGTTGAATAGTGCATTATAAAATAGTGAGGCAATGGAATGTATTGATGAGTTGATGATTGACAGAGCAAATGACACAATTAACAGAAAAATAAAGGAATTTTTGATGTAATTTTTGATGGGTCTGCCTACCTAATTATCTACTGAAGAAAGTTCAGATTGCATTGAACGGGGTTGCCAGGCTTATTTTTGCTCACCCACCGAGGACTCCCACTACCCTATTCTTGATCGAATTATTAATTCCACTGACTACATATTCTGAAATGATTTTGAGTAGTAGTGATGATCCTTCATGCCTTGAGAAGCCTAGAACAGTATGGGAATATTCTTTTGTTGCTCGATCCTTATCCTATACAGTACAGCACCCATATTGTACAATTGGTTGTCTGTATCCATGAAGCATCTGATTTTGTTGAGGCTTTTTAGAAACAACTTAAGAACTTTCTTTTTTTGAAAGCTTATGATCCTGAACAGGGTATGGTGATGGATAATTGCAGGGTTTAGGAAATGTTTAAATGTAAGGGTATGTGAATGATAGAAGTCGCCTTTTGTTATCTTTTATTGTAGTACAGTACAGTTAATTCTTTAGAAGAACTGGTGCTTTTGAGAAACAAAAGACCAGCTATTATTATTATTATAGTCAAGCTGTACTTACCAAGTTGGCCATAATCGACAAATGTCCTAGATCAGGTGAGAACAGGTATAATATTTAGTCCATGGTAGCTAGTTATAGAGCCTCACAGGGGTACCATTACACTCTTGGCATCCTACAGACCAGAGAAGATTAACTGTGTAGCCAAGTACGTTGAGTTGTACACACAGCTTGTCACTTACCAAGGCAGGAGTGTGGATTAAGTTAACCCTTCTCCCTGAGGGGATAACACCTTACTACAAGACTGTGGAAATAGACATTGAGGATGGTAGTTTTCAACACTTCACCATACATGTTGTTAACATCCTCCTGTGATAAGTCTTAAGTTTTTTTCACATAACTGTTATGTTTTCAAAATGAGGTGTTCTTTTGAAGAATCTTGCCGTACTAAAATTTTACCTTATTAGGACCATCCATAAACCTTTAAGTCCCATGTCAGCAGAAATGCATGCTTAAGAAATTTTAGTTTTGTCATTAGAATAAAAAATTTTCTGTGTTCCTCGTGTTTTTCTTTTGCATGACAAAAATTATTTGCCCACAGTGGAGTGAAGTGTTCTCTATGGACATGTATGAGAGCCGCTTCAAGAAGGAAGGCATTCTGAACCCTGCAGTAGGAGCGGATTATCGCGTCCGTATCCTACAACCTGGTGGATCCAAGGACGCTGATGATTTATTGAGGGACTTCTTGGGTCGGGATCCCAGCCACGATGCCTTCCTCCGTAGCAAGGGACTGCAGGCATAAAAACACAATATTAATTGAATAGATTAGTGCAGCTGTTAGTTGTGGTAGACTTTTCTACTGTTTATGTGTGGTTGTACTTAGAGAATATCTTTAAGAGTTCATTGTTATTTCGTTCATTAGTGAATATATTTGGATTTTACGATATAATTGCATAAAGGTGTACTGATATGGTTGAATATTTGATACAAAACTGGGAATTTACATAATACAATACGATTATTAATTGATTTATCAAGGTATGGAAAAAAATGTTTCTGATTGCAACTATTGTACTGCAAGTGGCAAGTAATATATATCAACGTAAGACTATTGCCATATCAGAGAATTCACACTGAAACGCTCGAATCCGTAAACATTGGGACATAGGTTTATTTTAAAGAATTATGTAAATTTTTATTATTTAGAAAAGAATATCTAATGATATATGGCTGAACTGCTCCAGAATAATATAAAAACACTGCCTGCCATTATCTGTATAGGCTTAATGGTAAATACAGTACTGTGTGTCAACTAGAGGTGTGTTGCTCCAGGCATATTCAGTTGATGTTTATGCTCAAAAAATATTTCGTCCAGTTTTATCATTTTTTAACCTCGGAAGAGATTTGTATTTTGTTTAATCAGTTATGTATCTAAATCAGTCTCATCTTGTGAAGAGTTTAAAATCCTCATCAAATTAATGAGATACAATGTTGAGGCTGATGCATACTGTTATGTACGTCTTGTTGGTCTAGCAGTTGATTTTATTGTAAAGTTAAAAGTATTTCTTTTTTTTTTACTAAAGAATTTTGTAGTCACATTTATAGTTATTATTTTTTCTTGTTAACTAGTAGATTTGTATAATTTTTAATGTAATGTACAGTTCTTAGTATAATTGACTTGGGTTTAAAGAAAATAAGCTATATATTGTGAACAGTGACCAATAAATTATATTTTATGCCATTGTTATGGCACTGGTTGTTCAAGGGATGTATTACAGATGCTCCTCTATACTGACGGACATTCAACTTAAAAACCCTGTCCATATGTCCAATTGCAGTCATCTGCTGTATTTATTAAAGGGAAAAATTGTAGCTGTATTGTACACCCCCCAAAAAAAAGAAAGGCCCATCATTCTTCTCCCCCATCCATGAGCTCTTGAGAATCATGAACCTGTGAATCTGAGACATAGCTGAGTGTGTCATCTATGGAACCAATGCATGATGTCCCAGAATCACAGCTTCATGAGTGAGTCTTAGGGATCATGGATGGAAAGGAGGACTGATGGAACTTTTTGTTTTTCTTGGGTGGGTGTGCATCCTTGACAATGTGTTTGGTATCTACAAGAGTAAAGCTGGACTTGGGAACAAATGAACCTACGAAGAAGCCTCAGGAACACAACTCGTCTGTCGATAGAGGAGCACCTGTATAGCTCTTTATAGGGTCTGAAGAATGATTTGTTCCTTTACAGCTTAAAATTGAGCTTTACTGATAATTTTGTTCTTATAAAACATGTAAAATATTTTGGTTTATTGTTTAACATATTTTTACCATTCTGAACATCTTAATAATGAGAAGTTTTATTATTCCTGGGTATTATAATTTACACCATGAGATGCATTTGGGAAAGTTTGACATAAAGAGAGTAAGTGTGTAAAGACAACTCAAAAAATCAACAGTTTAACTATTGGGGCGGGAGGGGGGATTTGACAGGAAGTGAAGTGTGAATTAGGCCGATTCAAGTGAAATAAACCGGGGAACAAAGAAATAGATAACAGGAGAAAGAAAGGAAGTTAGAGATTGAAGGAAAGAAATTACAAAGAAAAAGAAGAGATTAAAAAGGAAATAAAAGTAAAATAAATAACCTCTCCAATGGTGTACAAGGCACGTACAAAATAGCATATAGTGGTCGGATACACGTACATTACCATTAGTAATCTTGACCGGGACTTTAAATTGGTGTATTTGATCTCGCATATGCCAAATCTTATTGCCCTTGTGCAATATCACCAATTTGTCATATGAGGAATTTATGGTACACGATTCGATTGCGGGGTAGTTAGTGGTTGTAATGACTAGGAGGATGTTAATTACATTATTTCAATGCTAATTACTCCCCAACTGTGGGTTTCCTTGGTGCGATTTTGGTGCTTTTGTGTTTTTCTTGAAGTACTTAATTCGTTAAATCCTTTAAATTCTAATTCCAAGAATCACCAGGTGGCTCCACCACCCCTGGCAGGGCCCCTGGAGGCACCTCTGCCCTTGGGGGGGCTCTACCAATCCTGGAAGGTCCCCTGCGAGTGACGCCGCCGCTGGGAGGGCCCTGTAGCACCTGGGAGGACCCCTTGGGGCGCCCTAGGAAGGGCACCTAGGGGCTCCACCATTCCTGGGAGGTCCTCTTGGGGTGCCGCCACAACTGGGAGGTCCCCTGGGAGCGCTGTCGCACCTGGGAGGTTCCCTGGGGGCGCTGCCGTCCCTGACAGGGTCTGTGGAGGATCTACTGCCCCTGGGAGAATCCCTGGGGGCCCCGCTACCCCTGGGAGGGTCCTTGGGGGTGCCGCTTTTCAGGAAGGTTTCGTGGATGCTGTTATCACTGGGAGGGTCCCTGGGGGTGCAGTCGCCACTGGGGGCGATGCCACCCCTTGGAAGACCCCTGTGGGCGCCACCGTCTTTGGGAAAGTCTCTAGTGGTGCTGCCACCCCTGGGAGGGACTGTGGGGGCGCCATCGATCCTAAGAGGGTCCCTGGGTGTGCCACCGCCCCTGTAAGGGCCCCTGGTACCTCCACCATCCCTGTGAGGGCCCCTAGGGGCACCACCGCCTCTGTGAAGACCACCAATCCTGAGAGGTTCCCTGGCGTTGCTGATGCCAATGAGAAGCCCCTGGTAGGATTTCTAGGGGCGACGCCGCCCCTCGGAAGGTCCCTGTGGGCGCTGGCGCCCCTAGAAGGATCTCGAGGGGAGCTACCTCCTCTAGGAGGGTTCCTGGTGCCGCCACCATCCCCTGAGAGTGTCCCTGGAGGCGCCACTGCCCCTAGGAGGGTCGTCGGGACGCCACCTTCCCTGGGATGGTCCCTGGGTGTGCTGCCGTCACCCCTAGGAAGGGCCCATGAGGTTGCTGCCTCCCATGGGAGGGTACCCGTTGTCGGTGCCTTCCCTGGGAAAGTCCCGGGAGGTGTCACCTTCCCTGTCTGGGTCCATAGGGGAGCCGCTGCCCCTGGGAGGGTCCCTGAAGGAAACACCGCTTCTGTGAGGGTTCCTGGGGATGCTGCTTTCCCTGGGAGGGCCTCGGGCCACTGCCGTCCCTGGGAGGGCCCTTGGGGGCGCCGTCGCTGCTGGAAGGGTACCCAAGGGAAATGCTGCCCATGGGAGGGTCTCTCGCACTGTACTGGGAGGGCTGCCAGGTACAGCGACACTCCAAGGGGTCCTCCTATTTACGACAGCACTGCCACGTGCTCACCACAGGGGCAGCAGTGATCCTTGGGACTCTTCTAGGGGAGCTGGCGCCCCCATTAGCCCTCTCACAGGCAGTGGCACCCCCAGGGGCCCTCCCATAGACAGTGACGCCCCCTGGGAACCTCCCAGGGATGGTAGTGCCTTCAAAAACTCTGACATGGATGCTGGCACACTCAGGGGCTCTCCCAGGGACAGTGGCGCTCCCAGGGGCCCTTCTAGGGACGGCGCCAACCCCAGGGACCGCAAGAAGAGTCTCCAGGGGCCTTATGGCATGCTAGTCCATCGTGTCATATACAATATATTTCATACTTCCAGCAGTCCCATGCTTAACTGTGATTGGTGGACTATTCTTTTAACCCGCCAAATTACAGCCAATAGGAGAAGAGAACAGTCAGTCAGCACAACACACCAACTTATGTTTTCCTGTTGGATATTATTCTCCATTACCTTCTCCAGAATGCTTATAATACTAGAAATGTGATGGGCGATGGATGTATTTATTTAACGTTGCTTCTCCCAGAGGTCTAAATGCCCAAAAACGACTGCAACAAGGGGCTCTCTCAGAAACAGTGGCGCTCCCAGGGGCCCTTCTAGGGACGGCGCCAACCCCAGGGACCGCAAGAAGAGTCTCCAGGGGCCTTATGGCATGCTAGTCCATCGTGTCATATACAATATATTTCATACTTCCAGCAGTCCCATGCTTAACTGTGATTGGTGGACTATTCTTTTAACCCGCCAAATTACAGCCAATAGGAGAAGAGAGCAGTCAGTCAGCACAACACCCCAACTTATGTTTTCCTGTTGGATATTATTCTCCATTACCTTCTCCAGAATGCTTATAATACTAGAAATGTGATGGGCGATGGATGTATTTATTTAACGTTGCTTCTCCCAGAGGTCTAAATGCCCAAAAACGACTGCAACAAGGGGCTCTCTCAGAAACAGTGGCGCTCCCAGGGGCCCTTCTAGGGACGGCGCCAACCCCAGGGACCGCAAGAAGAGTCTCCAGGGGCCTTATGGCATGCTAGTCCATCGTGTCATATACAATATATTTCATACTTCCAGCAGTCCCATGCTTAACTGTGATTGGTGGACTATTCTTTTAACCCGCCAAATTACAGCCAATAGGAGAAGAGAGCAGTCAGTCAGCACAACACCCCAACTTATGTTTTCCTGTTGGATATTATTCTCCATTACCTTCTCCAGAATGCTTATAATACTAGAAATGTGATGGGCGATGGATGTATTTATTTAACGTTGCTTCTCCCAGAGGTCTAAATGCCCAAAAACGACTGCAACAAGGGGCTCTCTCAGAAACAGTGGCGCTCCCAGGGGCCCTTCTAGGGACAGCGCCAACCCCAGGGACCGCAAGAAGAGTCTCCAGGGGCCTTATGGCATGCTAGTCCATCGTGTCATATACAATATATTTCATACTTCCAGCAGTCCCATGCTTAACTGTGATTGGTGGACTATTCTTTTAACCCGCCAAATTACAGCCAATAGGAGAAGAGAGCAGTCAGTCAGCACAACACCCCAACTTATGTTTTCCTGTTGGATATTATTCTCCATTACCTTCTCCAGAATGCTTATAATACTAGAAATGTGATGGGCGATGGATGTATTTATTTAACGTTGCTTCTCCCAGAGGTCTAAATGCCCAAAAACGACTGCAACAAGGGGCTCTCTCAGAAACAGTGGCGCTCCCAGGGGCCCTTCTAGGGACGGCGCCAACCCCAGGGACCGCAAGAAGAGTCTCCAGGGGCCTTATGGCATGCTAGTCCATCGTGTCATATACAATATATTTCATACTTCCAGCAGTCCCATGCTTAACTGTGATTGGTGGACTATTCTTTTAACCCGCCAAATTACAGCCAATAGGAGAAGAGAGCAGTCAGTCAGCACAACACCCCAACTTATGTTTTCCTGTTGGATATTATTCTCCATTACCTTCTCCAGAATGCTTATAATACTAGAAATGTGATGGGCGATGGATGTATTTATTTAACGTTGCTTCTCCCAGAGGTCTAAATGCCCAAAAACGACTGCAACAAGGGGCTCTCTCAGAAACAGTGGCGCTCCCAGGGGCCCTTCTAGGGACGGCGCCAACCCCAGGGACCGCAAGAAGAGTCTCCAGGGGCCTTATGGCACGCTAGTCCATCGTGTCATATACAATATATTTCATACTTCCAGCAGTCCCATGCTTAACTGTGATTGGTGGACTATTCTTTTAACCCGCCAAATTACCGCCAATACGAGAAGAGAGCAGTCAGTCAGCACAACACCCCAACTTATGTTTTCTGTTGGATATTGTTCCTCCATTACCTTCTCCAGAATGCTTATAATACTACTAGAAATGTGATGGAGCATTGGATATATTTATTACGTTGCTTCTCCAGGGTCTAAATGCTAACTTGACTGCAACAAGGGCTCTCTCAGAAACAGTAAAACTCAGGGGCTTCTTCTGAGGACAGCATAACCCCAAGGAACCCGCAAGAAGAGTCTCCAGGGCCTTATGTTCTGATCATCGTGTCATATACAATATATTTCATACTTCAACAGTCCATGTAACTGTGATTGGTGGACTATTCTTTTACCGCCAAATTACAGCCAATAGGAGAAGAGAACGGTCAGTCAACTGTACCCCAACTTATGTTTCCTGTTGGATACTATTCTCCTTACCCTTCTCCAGAATGCTTATAATACTTTAAATGTGATGGGCGATGGATGTATATTTATTTAACGTTGCTTGCTTCTCCCAGGGTCTAATGCCCATGACTGCAACAAGGGCTCTCTCAAGAAACAGTAGCCCAAGGGGCCCGGCCCTTCTAGGGACAACGCCAACCCCAGAGACCACAAGAAAGAGAGTCTCCAGGGGCCTTATGGCATACTAAGTCCATCATCATCATATACAATATATTTCATACTTTATACGTCCCATGCTTAACTGTAGTTGGTGGACTATTCTTTTAACCATGAAATTACAGCCAATAGGAGAGAAGAGAGCAGTCAGTCAGCACAACACCCCAACTTATGTTTTCCTGTTGGATATTATTCTCCATTACCTTCTCGAGAATGCTTATGATACTAGAAATATGATGGGCGATGGATGTATTTATTTAATTTAGCTTCTCCCAG